TTGCAGTAAAGGATTGCAGGCAGCTGCAGTGCCTGGAACGGAATGACTTGACGGAGGCACTTAGCATGCTAGACGTCTTGTCTGTAGGCCGCAACAGCATCTTCACAAACCGCCTGCATAAAATAAAAACGCGGCGGACTTTCTGCTCTTGCCTTCTTGCAAGCCAGACGCAATTTGTGGTCACAAATCTTCACCATGACAAATTTTCGGAGGAATGCGCTTTCAACATGGGGACCCCGGGAGGGAAGATTTTTCCTTGCAATAGCGACCAAGCGGTGCTCCAAGCGACTCAGCTTGTTCTCCCAAATCCGACCGCTCTTAACAGAGAAAGACGAAGCGGATGAACAACCGCCGCTCGGTGATGTAGCGCCAGCTTGTTCAACATCTCTCTGGCGTTGGTGACCTCCACCGGTTGTGTCTGCTACAGACGCGGTCGCCCCACGACCCGCACCAGGCGGGCTGCTGGCACAAGCAGGGAGATCTTCTTGGTCTTCGGGTGAGCTTGGAACACCACCTCCTGGCCGGCGCTCCTCGAGGCTTTTATCTTTTCTGCCCACGGGTCCTGATGCGGCCGACACTTCTGTAGCTCCGCCACCGTGCAGCAGGACGGCTTCCAATCTGGCTAGTCTGGGTTCCGTCATGGAGGACCGAAAATCGCCCACGGAGCTGCGTGATTTTTTTTTGTGTGGACTTGTTTTGAAAAAATGTAACAAACAGAAAAGGTTGCGCAACAAAAATGCTCAAAATGATACATAGAACCATGTACACGACGCAAGCACTCTGCAATAAAAAGCCAGCAGCTCGCCCAGTTCCTGAGCTAGCGAATTTTCTCTACCTTTCCAGGCGCTGGAAGCGCTTCGCCAAGTCGCCGAGTTGATCTTGCAGAAGTGAAGTTGCTATCCTGAGTAAAAACGTACCCACACCAGAGTTGTAATCCAGATTTGCAAAGACAGGAAGACTTGTAATGCGCATCCCCATGAGAGCCAATTCCAGTCGTGTTTTGGAGTTTGTGATGCTGTGAACAGGATGAGCAGATGAATCTGTGATGCGGCTGCACTTGCTAACCTGCACTACACTGCAGAGTGCAACTTGTCATGCGTGACTCACAAAACTCTTAGGCTTGTGTTGCAAAATCCCCATCCTGACTCTGGTGTGGGTACGTTTTTACTCAGGATAGTTGCCCTTGTGGAGGTGCTGGCAGCTGCCTCTCTAGTTGTGCTCGCCTCCACGTCGGTCTTGCCAACGGCGCCAGTGCACGTAACTTTGTTTTCATACCGGAAAAAAAAACTGTCTTAGCGGAAGCAATACAAAGCTTTTTTGATTTTTTTGGATCAGCAGCATCACAAATGTCTTGTTTCGCGTGACCTGTCATGAGTGGTGAGCGTGTGAAAAAAAGAGAAAAAAAACATAGGAAAATCAAATAGCCTTAGCCTGACTGTGACGGCGCACATCAAGCATGCTGAGTGTAGGCGTTATGCATCGTCCTCTGCAAGAACACAGACCAACGTACTTACACTGATGCAGTAGTTTTTTCCTTGCGTACTTTTCTACCTGCAGCACACGGCACTCCAGGTCCCCAAAACGGTCTAGATCGAATTGGGTTTTCTCTCCGAGCTGCTTGCGCCACGGCTCCACTTCGGTGGCCACCACTTTTTCCACGGCCCGACGAATGCTCTGGTCGCACATCTCACTCAGCTGCAGCAGGGAGCTGCGGCTATTCTGGTCCAGCTTGTTCATGTGCTGCTGCAACCGCTGAATTTTTTCCTGCACGTCCGCATGAACGTGCGAGAGCTCATCCCGCAACCCGTGTTCTACCTTCTGTAGGTCCGAGGAAGGAGAAACCATGGTGACCTGCTCGGTGTTTTTACTTGAAGCAGCCGCAGCAGCGGATGATGACCCTGGCCTTACCAATTCCGCGGAGCGATCTGGCTCTTCACCGGGTCCTCGTGGCTGTTGTTTACCGAGAGTGTTAATATCGCCTTGGCGGAAAAGAACGTCCGAAGACGTCGCTACCGTGGTCTCTATGGTTTCGACCTTTTGCGCGAACTCCTACAGCATCAAATGCAAACAATATGTCTGGGTCTGGAATAAAGTTGGAACTTGTAAAAATGCTGGTCGTACATTTTTGGTGTGAAATCTGTATTGCAGGACCGACAAAAGTCGCCATAGGAAAACGCAGTGTCATCTCATGCGGACTGCGTAGGAGAAAACGTTCTGCAAACTTGTCATGCTTGTCTGCATAATTCACGATCACGATAGTGTTTTCATCATCCACAGTTCAGCATCACAAATCTCCACCTCCAGACATAAATTATATTTGCAATGCATATGTAGCCGCAGGTCAAACGTCTGGTCGCGCTTCTTCCACTTGCCCTGCAAATCGCGCATCTGCTGCGATTATCAAAAATAAAAATGTCTGGGTCTGGAAACTTGTGATGCTGGGTGGCGTCTCATGATGAGGCTACGAATACTGGCTCAGCATGACAAGTTTCTGAGCTCCTAGGTGTTGCCTATTCTGCATGACAAACTGCGGCTCTGCATCACAGAAAAACGGAGCTCTTGGGTAACGTGCATGACAGATTTAAGAGTCATGCCAGACAAGCATGACAGACATGAATTCTTCCAGACCCAGACATTTTTACAGTTGATAGCGACATCGTTTGCAGTACCGTTTGGCAGAGTTCCGACATCGCGGCTACTTGCTTTTCCAGATCCACAATACGCTTCTCGTGGCCGATAGTACTAGCAGCTGCTGCTTCATGCTCTCCTTGATTTCTACTTTCCTGCTCGGGCTCCTCCGAGCGTAGTACTAGGTGTGCTTCTTTCTCTTTTATCTCTGCGGAGGAGCCGCTGCTCGTCCCCAAAAACTTTTGGTCAACGTCCCCGAGGTCGCGGTTCTGGTGCACCGCCGCCGGAGCTCCTTGCGCCGCAAGTACCGCCGCCGCGAGCTGCTCCTGCAGCTGCCGCTGCTCCTGCACGACGTGCTGTAGCTGCAGGGACAGCTGGTCGTACTTGCGGTCTTGTTCGTCGGCAAACTGTTGCATCTGCGCGTGCAAATGGTCCTGGTCGGCCACGGTTTGTTGGCACATTTGCTCCAGGTGCTCCAGGTGTTGGGCATGCTTGCTGCTGTAGTCCAACTGATGCTGTGCTGTCGCCGAAGAAGAAGTACTACAACTACCGTTCGCAATAGAAGTACTGCTCTGGTGGAGCCGCTGCCCAAACTGCTGCACCGCTTTCTCCAGAGCCTTGTGGTAGTTCGCGTTCCGCTCCGTTTCTTCAGCAAGATCGGAAAGTCGGTGGTGCAACTGGTCCTCGAGTTCGGTCAATCCTCTCGCTAAAATGTCCTGATCCATGCGAAGCTGGTGCAACGTTTCCAAGTGTCCGAACGAAAAAAAGGGTGTTGCAATGCGAACTAGCATGATCATGCAACAGCATCTTCACACTTGTCATACCGGACAGCCATGTTGAAGTCCTCTTTTTTCACATCATCCGTTTTGACTCTACTAGCTAGACAGGCCAGGCTTAATATTTCTCTGTCATCATGCAGAATGAACTTGCCAACATGCTGCCAGTCCGAACAATAAACCATAACATGTTCTTGCACTGTCTGGGCATTGACACACTTTATGTTTCCCACACGATCATACCAACTGCTGGTAATTCATTTGCGCGGCTGCGTTGGTAGATGAGGAAGCTGATGATGAGGAGCTCGGCTTGCCCCGCGCGCCGCCCGAACTGGACGAACTGCTGCGCGTCGCGTGTAGTTCCAGCTGTTGCTGGTCTGCCACAGGAACCAGCTGGTTGTTGCTGCCACTAGTACTGTGCTGTTGCGGTGCCCCCGTCGTGCTGGTGCTGCCGGCTGCAGCTTTATTGCGGTGTCCTCCTCCTGTTGCAATGCCACTCCTCGAGGACGACGCACCACCTGCTTGTTCCGACTGCCGTAAAGGCTCGTCCAAAACGACCACCTCCGAAGCGCTGACAGAAACCTTGTTCGCCCCCGTTTTCGTTTTGCTCTTGCTCTTCGTGGCCTTCCCACTGCTTCTCGCAGACGCAGAGGAGCTGGCGGCAGGGTTTGAGGACGCGGTTGGTGTCCTGTTGGAAGCGAAGGATGAAGGGGTAGCCCTGTCTGCTTCAGCACCAGAGCAACCGACTGCATGATGTTGCGCACTGGAATGCTGATCCTGCTGGTGGTCGGTTGCAGTTATCATGGGGGAAAAACAAATTTCTAAAGCACCCAAGTGCAATTCCCGCAGTGATCGTCTTTACAATAGTCACTTTCTATTAATCTGTCGTGGCTACGCTTCCAGCGCGGGAAAGCAATCACCGGGAAGGTGAAAGTATACTTGTGTTTGTCTTGAGGAAAACGGAAGCAAAAATTTTTGCAAAACAAAAACTTTTTGGAATGCAAAAAAATAAATCCATGCGCTTACTCACACGAAAAAGTGTAGTTGAAGACAATGGGTTGTAGTTATGCTCCTCGTTGTTTCCCCCTCCCGATAACTGCAACGGTCTGCAACGGCACGACAATCGCTGGCATCGTCGTGGTCGCGTCTGCTGGCCCCGTTGGGGCGGTGTAATTACTCCCACCCGCGCCAGAAGTGCCCTTACCAGCTTCCCCAACACCTCCTGACACGGTACCTCCTCGCGAGCTCATGTTTAAAACTTTTTGGTGACCAGGCGTTAGTGGTCAGGCCACTTACTTTTTCTTTTGTCCCAATATGAGTATCACAACTCACGACAGAATCTTCTTTGTTCCGACGGAAAACAATTTAGAAACTGTTTCAGAGAAGCAGCGGCCGCCCCGGCCAAAAGGACACAGCAAAGTCACTTCAAAGATAAGAAACGACGATGGCTTCGCTCCTCCTCCTTTAAGAACCATCTATCCATCTACTTAGATCTCATGCCTTTTTGAAGAACAACGACCAATAAGATGCACATCTTCCAAGCTGTGCATCAACCGCTGCATCCACCGCAACTACAGCAGTAAAGCCCCGGCGCTCGTCCACAGCACGCACTTTCCTCCTTATTTAGGGGGTATATCACAACAGAAACGCAACAAATCAATATCCCGTTTCTTGCAGGATAGCTGTTTGATGTCATTATTTTGCCTTGATCTTCTCACCCTCGCTCTTTCCTTTTCTGCCGATGAATTCAATGCAAAGATGAAAGTATATTCAACGGCAATCAAGTGCATCCGGTTTCATTTGTTGAGCCTGCTCAAATGCCCAAATCCTCGAACATGCTGATCAACAAGTTCAACAGCTCTGCTGCTGGAGCTGGAGGTCGCGGTGGACAAAATGTTGTACGCATTTTTTGTTCCGTTTCATCTGAAGACCACTCTCGTTTCGCTCATGCCCCCGCCTAAGTCGCGTCTTCTACTTACTTGACCGCCACTGTCTAAAAAATCTTGCAAAGCATTCGATGTCGTAGTCCTGTGTGACAACTGCCGTTCTTGTAAGTAGTAGAGGAGCAAAAGTATTACGTCGGCCACAGCTACTGGAAATCGAAGCTGTTGAAACTGGGACGCTTTAGTGCACTCCTCTGACGGTTTGGTGGAAAATGTGCAGCGCTGCTCCCGCAGCAACGAAATTGCAATCGGGAGTCCAGTGTGTTGGCGGTTTATTCAGACAGGTGGAACTTTCATTATATACTGACACGCTCGTAATGTAATCTTCTTTTATTCTTGTTGAAGCGAGTCCATAAGATAAGTACTAAGCAGACTTACGATCATCCTCAGTTGTACGCCCCACCCCCCGCGGGCGGCAAAAATGGTGTGCTCCCTGGGTTCCGTTGCGCAGCGGCCATCTGCTGCTGTAGAGATTATCGAAGGAAAAGACTGCATGTATTTCTTTATGTCCTTACTTTACTAGTCCACAAGTTGGTTTCTTTTCTACCGAAAACAATCTCTACTACTCACATCTGCCACAAAAAAAGACACAGTGCGTCGAGGCACTGTGAGCGGAAAGCTGAGAGGATCAGGTGAATCATGACCACGCCTAATCGACGTCCTCAGTCGCGTTAAACCAACCTGCCGCATGGGCGTGGAAACACCGGAGATTAATATTCCACGCCGTGCAAAAAATCATGCATCAAAGTCAAACTCAGGGAATGTTGAAATAAAAGCACATTTTTTTCCTTGGATAGCACGGGACTGTAAACCACTTTCTGATTGGTCTTGGACGTCTCTGGACCACCCGCATAGCCACCGTAGCCGTCCAGGCGTCTCCTGTGTAAAGACGTCCCCACACGACCATAGTAGGTGTCATGCAGATTTCCACGGCGCACAGGAACGTTGCTAGTGCGCATCCACACAAGTGGCGTCTCTCGTCCGTCGTGCAGTTTCGAAATTTGTAATTCTGCAAACAGGAAAAGGGGATGGATTTGTGATGCGGCTTTTCTTGCTATCCTGCACTACAGTATTACAGTGCAAAACTTGTCATGCGTGACTCCCAAAACTTCTGGATTTGTGTTCGCAAAGGTTCCGACTTGACCATGGGGAGGTGGGGACGTTTTTATAAAGGATAAGACCGCCGCCGTAGGAATTGACCACCATAGATTGCTGCATTCGGTTTCGGTATCGCACGAAAAAAAATAAGAGATTTTTCTCCTCCTGTGATCATCATCATTGTTATTTAAAACAGGCACTGCATAAGAACTTTTTGGTAAAGACCAGAGCTGTTCCAAGTTCTATGCTGTTGTGCGATCTAACTTCCCCCGCATGATCACACGCTCAAGACACTTTTTTCGTGCGATAGCATGGGCGAGTGCCCTGGCGACATGGCGGTCACCATTTCGTGCTGCTTGTTACGGGTCTATGCAGTGCAAAAGTACAAATGTTTTTGTTCATAGCAGGATGTGCCATTATGCAGAAACGACGTAAAAGACTGGAAGTCTGTCATGCAACGACACCAAAAGGACTTTTGCATCTATCCGATAGCATTTGCTGCTTGACGATATCGTTGTAGAGCACCGCACCGAAAATCAGGCCGACCACAATCAAAACAGCCTGAAAATCGTACTCCGCCAGATTATATGCATTGCGAATCTGTAGTCATCTGGGTGTAAATTTCTCATGCAAGATTTCAAGGACAGCAACATCTTCTGTGATGGATGAAAAGAAGTCTCGCTCGCTTTTTTGCCTCGCCGGAACCTACTTTTTTATGCGCATGACGAATCAATCTCGGAATGAGCCTCGCAAAACTTGTGATCATGCGATTATTCGTCCATACAAGCGACTACTCCGCGGCGCGAGTATCTTCAGCAACACAAGTTTATTCCAGACACAGATCGATATTTACAATGCGTAGCTTCGAGCGTAGCTTGCAGACCCCGTGGAAGCAGGGCAGCGTCAGGGCCGCGGACACGTCCAATCCCAGCAAGTCGTGCCAAAGTTGATGGAACGCCCGGGGTATCCAGTGCAAGAGTATCGTTCTTGTAGTGATCGTGTCCCAGTTATGCACCACAAATCATCTTTTTTCCAAGCATGACAAATACTTAAATTCCCTCTGTTATTGCATGCTGAGCTAATTTGTATAATAGAATACTACTTGCATTTGCAATTCCTACTGGTACGATGCTTTTGCAATGCATATGGGGCCGCGCTTGGCCTACCGGCGGAGCCATACACGTCTGCAGGACTTGGTCTTCGCTCGGCTCGCATTATCACACAGAAAAAAGCGGGAGGGGCATATTTGTAATGCAAAAAGAAATACACAAAAAATCTGCATTGCATATCCGAAACAGCATGCTATAGGGCCACCCATGAGAAGTTTTTCTGTGTATTTATTTTGGCATTACAAACATGCCCTGCCAGCTTTTTTCTCTGGGATACGCATTCCGGTGTGGTCATGGTCGAGCAGTCTTGCCGGAGCTGGGTGTGGATGTGTCAGAGTTGAAATCGACAAAGTTGAAATAATTTGTCATGCATCAAATGGATGCCAGTTGGAACCCAGTTTCCAAGTGGCGCATGACAAATCTTGGCGGCCCTTAAATCCAGTTTGTCGTGCTGTTTAGGCAAAGAAGAGCGATTTTCTCATGCTACTTTAGCAGCTCGAGCTGTAACCCCAAACAGGCTTACAATCGGCCTCACTTGCCTGCTCTGCAACGCACGTACCTCGGGTCATGCATTTTATGCATTACAAATTATTTCAACTTTGACGATTTCAAACCTGACGTTTCCATACTGCGTGTGGTTTATATATTTCTCGAAGGTTTTTTCCACACACGACAACGATGCTCACACTCACCACAGTTGCCTCGTGGTTTTCTTGTGGAAGTGGATTTTTTCAACTACTCAAAACAGTGAAAACCTCGTAAGTAAGTACTTCTTTCATTTCCGCCGCCGTCATGGGGAACTTCTTGTCTGACAGCACACACACTATCAACCGCAAATATGTCCGGGTCTGGACACTTTCAATAAGTACAAGGACGTGAATGAAGATGAGCGCGTGCTAAAGGCAGCGAAGCATAAGAAGTTCGGCCTTGGGTCTTGCCCTTGCGCATTCCGCACAGGAAATTGCATCAGTTTGCATGACAGAAAACGAATGACGCGTGCTTTCCTTCGTGCACAGGCATCACAACGAACCTCCGAGCCATGTCAGACAGGCACAACAAATCTTGCAATCTTGTTTCCGACCCAGACATATTTACGACGCATACCCATTTCCAGCACCTTGAACTGGCGGTAACACGACCAGACGTAGAACCTTTTTTTCTTCTTTTTTTTTCGCTACCTTGGGGATGGCCGAGAAAACGAAAAGCGACCGAATAAAAAAATCGATTCATAGAACTGTACCTGAGCCCAGCGTAACCCACGATGATGAGAATGATTGTGGCGGCCACTATTCTTCGGCGAAAACGGAATTTTGATCGCATCGGGTGTATGCAGTGTAAAAAATGTTGTACCTTCTTCCCGCCGCGCACACAAGAGAGCCAAATCTAGCCGCAGAACTGTTTTCCAACATCCAAAATGATGTAGACAGTGCTGTGCCTTGTCGCCTGATGCGCTGCTGCATCAGTAAAGGCCAAGTACGCTCTTGCAATTCTTGTACGCATCATGTATACGCCGGCGCCTTCAACAATACTTTATTTTCCCCCAGAGGATAGCGCGTATCTCCTGCAGCATGTGTTCGGCGGGCTCGGTGACCGCCCGGCCCTGCGTGTCGATTAGCTGGAACTCCGGCTGCTCCTTCAGCTCGGAAGGATCGTAGTCGCGGTAGATCCCAGTGCCCCGGTCCATCAGCGTCACAGTTGCACGGTGCGCCGGCTCCTCGGACACTTTACGCAAAATCCGGTGGGAAAAAGCTAGCACGACAAGCGTTTATATGTTTAGTGGATCCACACAAAAATCAAAAATTTCATCACTCTGAGTAGACCGGCCCTCGGGAGGCGGCTCTTGTGTAAGCGCGTGAGAGACCTTTTCGCGGCGGGATCATGCGGAAGCGGATACGACAAATTTTCATTTCTGCATAGGGTGGTAGCAAAAAAAATCGCTCCTACGCTAGCTTCTTCATGATCGATACGGAGTGCAGAATCGAAATCCTGCGAAAACTCTAGAATCAGCCAAGCCGGCGTTTCGTAGTCGTTGTTGCGATCTTTAGAAATTTTGTTTTCATAGCATGAGAAATCAAGAAAACGAATTGGAGTTTCTATCTTTTTTGTGGAGGCTGGATGCAACCTCGTATCTATAAATAAATAAGTAAGTACCTGAAGGCTCCATCTTGAACCGTTTTATTATCGGCTTTCCGGGGTGGTTGGCCTCGTGGTCGTAGATCAGATTGAAAACATCCGGTATCGGGGGAAAAAAGATGGGATTTGCTGCAACATAAATCCTGCGACCGTTGTAAACCCCGGCAGTGTACCAAGCAACGGCAAAGTTGTACTACATGCTAAAACTGCAAAGTCAATAAAGCTAAACGCTGGTCAGATTGATGATGTTGCGCGCGCTTTATTATCCAATAAGTTTTACGTAGACAGTGGCAGTGCAAGAACGCAGTACAAACACGGCCCGCTTGCATGTGCACACCTTCACGAGGACGCAAAGTTCTTTAGACTGACTCCATCTATCCGTATCCATGGCAAACAAGAGGATTTATTTGTAGGAAAGAACCAATGTTGCAACAAGGCGTGGTTTTTTTCCCATTTGATATCCGACGCGGAGATTACCAGTTCGGCGACCTCTTCCGATATAACCCGCTCAGGTGTTACAATCTCAAACGTCACAATAGAATATGGAAATCTGTGATGCAAGAGTGCATGATCTTCTAGTCAACTCGCATAGGATTGCGCATCACAAGTTCCGGAGCCCCAAACCGCCCTACAATCTGGCGAAATTTGTATTGCAGAAAGTGGAACGGTCTGCGAGTCTGTCATACTCACCATGCAACACAAATTCCAGATTCTATTGTAACGTTTGAGATTGTAACGCTTGAACAAGTCATATCCGAGCCGAAGAAATTTTCCTCCTTCACCACAAACCGCACCTTGTCCTCCATCTGGCTGTCCCGAATTCGCAGCACCAGCTCCTCCGGAAACGTGATCACCTATCAAATGCAAAAGTGTCTGGGTCTCGAAGATTGCAGGAGTTTGTCATGCATCTTCTGGATCACGCAACTGGTCTCTAATGCACGCAAAAGCATTTACAGATTTTGCGCAGGCCTCCTGATGTCTATTCCGCATGAGAAATTCCCTGTTTGCGTAGCAAGAAGCTTTTGGTGCTTATGCAATATAAATTTTTGCCCATTCCAGAATCCGCATGGCAAGTTCCAACTCTTCCAGAGCCAGACACTTTTACACTTGATATCACCTTCGGGCTGGCGTTTTCCTGCACCGAGGTGATCATGGGTGGGTGGGACCCGCACTCGCACATCAGGTAAAAATCGCCCGTCGCGCCGCCCTTGAAGGGGAGATCCCCCGCCCGGATATTGCTGATCTTCAGCGGGATGGAGACCAGGCCGAGGGACTGGCCGATTTTCTTTTTCACGTTGAAGCCGAACACGTGGATCGACCTATCAACAGGAAAAATCCCCCCTCCCCATATCGAAACGAAGTTGCTGATGCTGGATTTCCGTACACAAGTCAGATCGTCTTGCAGTAGAGGACTGCAGGCACCATATGCCAAGCCTGACTCGAGAGGTTTTGACGTAGTTGCCTAGCATGCCAAACGTCTAGGCTGTAAGCCCAACAGCCTCACAAACAGCCTGCATAATGCGGCGGACTCTCTGGGTTCGCCTTCTTGCAACACAGAGGGTGTGGTCACACATCTGCATCACAAATTTTTAGAAGCGTGCGCTTTCAATATGTGGGGAGGGGGGATTTTTCCTCACAATACGACCACGTGCCGTCGCAGGCGCCGAAGCAGCGGGCGCAGCCCCACCAGATGCCGTCCAGCGTGTTTCCGTGGAGCCGGTCGTCGCCCGTGAAAAGAAAACGAGTATCCAGGAAAAAATTGTGTTGGTGTAACTGGTTTTTCCTTTTAATTTTAATGATCAGCAGCATCACAAATTCCATTTATTCCAACGCGCTTTGCATAAAAGCAAAACAAGATGCATGCTCTATCAGCACACGTAGTCTCCGCTCATCACTTCTAGTTCTACTGGTATCTATCGGGCATGATAATAACACGTGTCAACTGAACTCAGAACTCTGGTGTGCATTTTTTGCATTACAGATTTACAGTAACTATCACTAACACAGTTTTTTCCTTGCACAAATGACGCGGTCCTTGTATTTGAACGCCAAGATTCCCAGCAGCACGACGATATGCATTGCAAATATGTCTGGGTCTGGAAGATTGCCAGGCTTGTCATGCATATTTGGCACGACCCATGACGCCTGTAATGCATGACCTAGTATCACAGATTTTTAAAGGGCTTTCTGATGCCCTTTACGCATGAAAAATGCCCCCTCTACGTAGCACACCCTGGACTCCTCGTCTCGCCTGTCATGCAATACAGATTTTTTTCGAATCCAAAGATAGCATCACAAGTTGCATCCGTCCAGACCCAGACAGATTTGCACTGGATAGACGATCACCAGCATCAACACCTGGTTGGCATGGTCTACCAGAGCCAGGGCCGGGTTACCCGCCTGGACCGCATGGGGCAGGAGCAGGGCGAGGAAGGGGAGGCGGAAGATATTGTGCATCTTCTTAAGCATGGTCGTGGGCTTTTGATGGTGAAGAAGTACCACGCGGCGAGGATGAAATCGTCCTTGACCGTGACGAAAACAGTCTGTCTTCACGAAGTAGAGCAGATGAAGATGAAGGCCGTCCTACTTCAGGATCCGGTTCCGGGAGCAGGAGGTCTATTTTCTTTCATATCCACAGCATGATGAAAACCACCAGACTCATGGTCGGTGCGGGCGCAACTCAAAATTCTACTACACCGTTAGAGAAGTAGTGGCACTCAGCTTGATTTCATCTTAGTCGTGCAGCCAAGGAGCACCGGAGACGTGCTGCCCTGATAAGTAGATACAACGTTCCTAGCGCTCTATCCCTGAGCTTCGACGTCGCTGAGTAGATTCAGAATGGGTATTAAGGAAACGCGTGCGAAAGGAAGCGAAGTAAAAACCCTAGTAAGAATCATTCATACTACCTGTTTTTACACCACCAGCGACCACATCACTCGGCTGATAAAAAATCCAGGCTTATCTAGTAGAGCAGATTCTTTTCACAAGAGTAGTTACATCAGCCTTCTCTTCTCGTCGTTCTTCGTAAGCAGAAGGATCTATGCACGACCTTCCAGGCAGCTACAACTCTCCCCCGTGGCAGTGGCCGCAGAGACAAAAACCCAACAACTCCAAACAGAAATCACAACCTGCTCTCCTGCACTCGAGCAGACGCACTGGACACCACGACCACTCCTGTTTGTTTTCATAATCGGCACCACTAGTGCTGGTTGTGTAGAGCGATAAACTCGTTCCCTCATGTCCCACCTCAAAGAGAAAAGACATTCTGAATCTTCAGGAAGAGAAACCACTAGCCGACGTACATCAAGTCACGCAACTACTTACACAGAGGCGCCCACCCACCGGGATTGTAGGCGCAGCAGAGCTGCTGGCATGCTCGGTTTGTTCCAGCCTGACCTGCCGTTACGACGAGGTGGAGGATAATGATCCACGATCAAAGATGAAGAACGAGGACAAGACCCTGTGCAAGTAGTAGATATGCTCACTGTCACTGGTCAGAGACAACCAGAGCCTGACAATCAGTTTTGCCGAAAAAGATCGTTTTACTTGAATTGTTCAATCTCCAACTTATTTCTACTTCACTCTGCCACTTACTCTGTCTGCTTGCGGCTTTGTGCAGTTCTTTCCGCCACTACTCCGCATATGCAAAAATAAATCATCTTGATGGCTGCGCATTTCCTACTCGTGTAGTTCCAGCTCCATTCTAGGTAGACGTTGCTAGGCTAATAAGGCAAGGTTTGAAAAAGTTTTATGTTGTACTGCCCTTGTTCACTGAGGACAATCACCACCGCAAAGAACCCACTGTAAATGCTGCGCTAAAAATGATAATGAACTCTATTTATCTATGACGAAGCTTCTCGTCACATCACCTTCTTCATACACTGGCGTTGTTGCTCCAGCACGAATAACTCGTCGTTTTGCACGACGTGATTTTGCTGGTTACTCCCGCCGAGGTATCCTCAGCAAAAACGTCCCCACCCCAGAGTTGTAATGCAAATGCGCAATGACAGGAACATTTGTAATGCGCATCTCCATGAGAAGCATTTCCAATCGTGATGTAGCATTTGTTATGCTGTGAATAGGATGAGAAACTGGCTTTCTCATGCGGCCTGCCTTGCTAAGCGCCACTATACGACAGACGGAAACTTGTCATGCACACCTCCCAAAGCTTGGCGATTTGTGTTGCAGATGTACCAACTTGACTATGGGGTGAGGACGTTTTTGCTCAGGATACGAGGCCGCCACTCCCGTTCAACTTGTCCTTCGAAGTTCGCGAACTCCGGCTACTACTCGCCGCCGCTGCGACTCCCCCTCCCAACGCGCTGCCCAAAATGGTTCCGGTAGTTGTCCCCGCATTGAAGTTTGCGGCCGACGGCAAGATGCTGTGCAGCAAGGTAACGATCTTGTTGCCGCTGCGCTCCTCCATATCGTCGTTGTCGGAAAGCAGTGTTGGGTCGTTGTTGCAGGTCGTTTCTACCCCGTCGAAAGTGCTACTAGAGCCCTTCTTTTCTTTCTCATGATCCCCATTTGTTGAATGCGTCGTGCTGTCGTGACCCTTGTTTTCCGCGTTTATTTTTCCTGTGGCGTTCGCGGTGATTTCTTCCGTCGTGTTCTTATTGGAAGTTGTGGTTTTGTTCGAAATACTAGTGCTTCCCTGCGTGGCTTTATTGTTGTCCGACGGCCCCGATTGAAGCAGGTTAGCTGGCTTTATTTCTACTGCAGCACTTGTTGTAGTTTTGTCTTCCTCACGACTGCGGCTGCATTGGACCGGCACCAAGTCGTCTTCGTTCATCTTCAGGCTGCGAGCGTAGTATCGTGGTGAAAAAAGCTGACATGTCTAACATGCATCATGCAGAAACAAACCGCCGGGCTCAGGAGCTCGGTCTTTCGCATGCCTGCTGTTGAGCAAGAAGTCTTGTTGGCGCCACAACCCTATCAAGAACGAAGTACTTACGAGTTACTAGTCTTCATTTTCTACAGAAATCAATGTATTTCATGAGGGTCTGCTAGCAATTTCCGGCACGATACACTTCCCCGAGTGAGCAAGGAGTTTCCGGTCGGGCTGCTCTGCTGGTGCTGCACCACGGTCGCAATCGGCCCGGCGACGGGGGGGACTTGAAAACTGAAGGGCACGCAGGTCTCCCCTTCCAGAAAAAGGTCCAGCTCGTCGTGCAAATCGTATGAGAGTGCACAGCTCTCCCGCCTCTCCCCCTTATTTGTAATATGGCTATAGCATGAAGTGCAATACAAACACCCTATACATGTAGATGCTGCGCATGACAAGTTCATGCGCTGAGTGTAGTACTGTTTGGGCTTCCAGAATTTGTAATGGAAACAGCGCCACCAGGCAGCAACTGGATTTGCGATTTTGCACTACAAGTGAGGGGGAGAGGGAGCTGTACACTCTGATAAATCCCCTTCCGAGTAGAGGAACTCGCCCTTGTGGTTCTGGAAGCACAGGACGCGCTTGAAATAGTGGAACCACTCCTGGTATCAACTGCAAATATGTCTGGGTCTGGAAGATTGCCTGGTTTGTCATGCATTTTTTGCATGGCCCGTGATGCGTGTAATGCACGACCTAGCATCACAGATTTTCAGGGGGCTTCCTGATGCCTACACCGCATGACAAATGCCCTCCCCGCGTAGCACAAACTAGACTCCTCTTGCTGGTCATGCAATACAGATTTTTTTCGAATCCACGGACAGCATCAGAAATTCCATTCTTTCCAGATCCAGACATATTTGCACTTGATACCTGTCGGGTGATGATTTTGTCCCCGTCGAGATCCATGTCCTCCAGGAGTTTGTTGGCGGCCAACCCACTGTATGAGGGTGCACATGAAGATCTCCCTCGCCTCATTTATCGTGCAAATTAATAGCAGATTCACAGAGACAGATTGGGCTTATGCTTGACCTTAAGCACTGTATGCATGACAAATTTCGGAGCAACTAAGGGTAAGCACTACAATCCGTGTGCACGAAATTTGTCATGCGGAAGCCACATTTGTGCCATTGCTTGTGTTCTTGCTGCTCATGCTCTTCGAATGAAAGAGGGGGGGATACTGAAGTGCACTCTCATATTTTGAACCGCGAAAACATCCGGAGCGCCTCGTCATACTCGACCTCGCCGCTTTTGTCAATATCCACCTTGTCGAACGCCTTTTCGATCTTGTTCGCAAGTTCGACCGTCAGCTGCATTTTGTTCGGGTCGCGCCGCCGCTTGCTGCCCCAGGGGAAGCAGGAGGTGAGGGAGGACGACATGGCGTCTTGTACTTGTGCACAGAAAAACTATCGTATGAATCAATTCCACGGCCGGTCGGCGGGCGATACGGTACTTAATACATCGTGACTTGTGATGATGCTCTTGTATGAAGTTCATCACTTCTTTGGGATAATTTTCATATCTCTCCGCTCTTTTCGTCGCGGTGGTGATGGTGAACCAACCTAAACTCCTCATGAAAAACAAAAACGCGTCGTCCCATAATCACTCCGTCGTCCACAACTCGGTCTCTCTTGAATTGGTGCCATGACTGGCTGGCTGATCCAAACTGAAAATGCACCTCACGTGTATGTTAATCTTCAATCTCTTTTACTCTCATGATATATTGTAAGGTCTCAGAGGCAAGCAAAGCTACTTATATCTATAGTGCCCTCCTTCCCTGGCAGAGCTGGCACACGATCAATCCAAAAGCATTTCCACTGGTCCAATTCGTTGTCGTTTTGGTGGAGACCTCGACATCCATTTTGCTTTTTTTCCCCGGGTCATGCAACAACAAAAAATTCAGGCGGGATACGACCGTTGTGCATGGTTCTTCGAAATGGACGTTACGTGCGTTGCATAATAGATTTGATTTATTTTCCCAAGAACATCGTACAGGTATCATCGAGAATGCAGTAAGACGAAAGAACGGGTAGCTAAGAATGAGAATAACGTGAAATGTTAAAGAGGCACTGTGAAATAAATGACAACGAAGTAGTACATTTTCTAATGTGTTGCCCTTCGACCGCGGCCAGAAACAAAAATAAAAACTAAAATTGCATAATGAAAAATCTGTGCGTCCAGCACACGAACCACTGAAACTGAAGATACGTAATCGTAATACTGCCACAAGTCAAGAAAAAATAACACCCAAACAAATACTTACTTACAACCGGTCTTGTTCTGCGTCAAGTTTTTTCCACGACATCAACTGCGCCGTAGCATTTCTGGAATCTGGAGCTGTTTGTTGTAACCACAGTACCTACATCCCATGCACGACAGGGATGATTTCTAGTGGTTCTAGTTTTCGAGTTTTACAACTTTAGTAAACGACCAACGAACTGAAAACAGAGAAGATGAATAAAGAGAGAACGAACTGACGAGAGAAGTAAGCTTCTTCCTCTTGGGGGGGTTCGAACTGGCGAGAAAAGTAAGCTTCTTCCCCTTGGAGGGGTTCGAACTGGCGAGAAAAGTAAGTTTCTTCCTCTTGGAGGGGTTCGAACTGGCGAGAAACGGAGAGTCTTTGTGTATGGGGGTGATCGAACTGGACAACGGAGAGAGAAGAAGGTAAGAAGGGGGGCGCACTGGCCGCCAGCTGAGGCCTTTTTTGGCAGCTTGCAGCTGGGAACTTGTCCAATTTGTGCTTCTTTTTGTGTTCCTTGGTGTGAGCTTTGTGACCAAAAGAAACACTTCGACAGCGCCACTCTCTCCGGACCACTGCCTGGCCTCCGATGGCCATGGTAGTGGATGTTTTGCGCGCGTTTCAGAAGCCACCCAGTTACTAGGCCGATTTCACTCCGAAAGAAACGGAGAAGGAAAGGAGGTCGAGCAAAAGAGCGCGGGGCGCCCAGGCTATGTGTTGCCCCGCTTTTCCCCCCTCCCCCCCCCATTTTCTTGCGTTTTAGTGTTTATTCAATGCGAACGCGCAAAATACAACGAAAACCGGGCAACCTAGGCCATGAAGCGCAAAGCGCCAACTTAAAAAAAAAAAATTTTGCTTTAGTTCAGTGTCTGCCTGGTTTTGCAAATAAAAACTTCGCCGAGAGCCAACTCTTTGCCGAAGTTTTGGCGAATTTCGGCAAAAGAAATTGCCGAAATTTGGCAAGATTGAAAAGCATTGCCATGGCTTAGGTTGTCCGGCTTTGCATTTTGCGCGCTCATGCTATCCAATGGGCCGCCGCCCTACCGCCCCCCGCCTTCTTTTTTCCCCTAGCTATTCCAATCGGCACAGGCTGCCTAAGCAAATGCGCAGGCAGTTCGCGCAGTCCACCAGCGCCCCACCGCGGGCAGCCACTTCGGCGATGACTCCCGAACACGAAAAAAGCGCAGCGCCGCGCCTTGGTTTTATTTACGCAGTGCCCCGCGAGCGCGGAAGCAGTTCGCGCAGCTGCGCAGTCCGTCAGGTCGCGCAGCTGCGCAGTTCGCAGTCCGTCAGTTCGCGCAGCTGCGCAGTTCGCGGTCCGTCAGCTCGCGCAGCTGCGCAGTCCGTCAGCTCGCGCGTGCTCTGCAGTTTGCAGCTTGTCAGTACGTTACGAAAACTCGAAAACCAGAACCTACTTGATTTCCTATAAAGGCGAAATTTGACTAGGAAAACGAAAACGAGATAATTCGCGTCTCGGGCGAATAATAAATTGATCGGCTTCACCATCATCATAGAGATAAACTAATCAACCTTTACAAATAACAGAAGACGCAACACGACAACTTGTTGTCTGCGGCATTTGATTTGGTGGATTGTTGACCTTTTGTAGAAGAAGTAACAACTTCTTTCTTAATACTTGTTGTAAACAGTTGCGTGCCTTCATCTACTTATTCCATGATTTTTCTAAAAGAAAAACGTTTTCATGCTAGAGCTTGCTTCGGTTGGGCATGCTGGTCTTGGGTGTGCGAAGATTCGTAACCACCCAGAGAAGCCTCCTCGGTGCCGACATCCTTGTCAGGATTCGGTCCACCTCCGGTGCCATCTTGGGCCGCGGCGACACGACCAGAGGACGCACTTTTCGCCTTTGCCTCGCTCGCTTTCTTCTTCTCCTCCGTCGCCTTCTTTTCCCCCTGTCCCGTCTTGCGCTCCGCCTTCGCGTGCCCCTCCGACTTCTCCTTCTTGCTTTATCAAAATCGAAACTGTCTTCAAACTCCACGCCAAACTGCTAAACAGCTTGCTGTCGCACAGCGCAGTGGTGCAAAACTGAAAGAATTTCGCATATTGCAGATGCATTTGCTCAGCTTTAGCCGAAAAGCTACTAGATCTAGATCAGCCGTCAGTACGACATGGACATACGGCCATACAAGTTGCTGGAAATCATCATCATCATCATCATCTAACTGCACTGGGGGGGGAGCGTGCAATGGGTTGGGACCTGGTTCAAGTTCAACGTTTAGAGCATGTCTTAGTCAGGGCACAGCACGACATGCTACGACTTGCGAATCCGTCTACGATCAAAAACTTATTTTCCTCGTGCTCATTTCGCGATCATTCTTCGTCCTCAACTCCGTCGGCCAGTTCATCTTCGTTTTCGCTTCCAGAAGAGCTAGCAGCGTCAGCAGCATCTCGATCTGTTTCTTTGTCGAGTTGCAGCGCCCTTTTCTTCTTGCACTGCTTTTCGTGGTTCAGCATCCTCGTCTTCGCCCCGATTTTTCGCTGGTACTTCCGTGGCCACGGGACCTCGTGGCTGGCGCATACCGGGCATCGGATCCGCGTCACCTTGAACTTGCTCGCCTCGTTGTCAGGCAGGAAGCGTTCCGGTGGAAGAACGTGCTTCATCTTATTCGTGTACTTCGGTGGTATAATACAATTGCCGGACTTACCATGCAAAAATTCTTCGACCGGAACGCAGTAATCTCCTGGCTCCGACACGAGACGCGCGAAGTCATCCGCTTTGTGCAAGTTCAAGTGCGCCCGCAGTGCTCGGAGGCTCCCACCAAGGTTCACGTCGCAGGCTCTGCATCGCAACACCCCGCCCTCACCAGGGGCAGGCCCGTATATCCCGCCCGAGTCCGCAATAATCTTCTCCTCCTGTCGCGCCGTTGTGTCAGTGCTGAGCTCCACCTGTTTCGCCCGAAGTCGCTGGACGCTTCGCGTCGGCTGACCCGCGGCGCGCCTGTTGTTGACCGGCGGGCGATGCTCGTAGTACCGCTCGTACTCCTGCTGGGACACGTCGAAGCGCTTCAACAGATTTGCGAAAGCGCACTCTACTTCCGGCTTTGCGGCTCTAGCAGTGCGCCAAGTCGGGTAGAACCAGTGCCGCATTGTTGCGTCGATGTACCACGAGCGTGTCGAGACGTACCAAATCCGGCGCGAGTCCGGCTGCGAAAATTCCCCAAAGTCGCTCGTAGCTATGCGCGCGTCCGCACACGCATCCACAAACGCCTCATACACGGAGGGCAGGCGAGATGGCCGACGGGGTAGCAAGAAATGCTCGGGGTTCGCGTCCGGGGTGATGTCGGGGTTGGCGCTACTGATGACGAACCTGCCCAGGAAGGCCTGTCGGGGTAAAAACGAGGGGTCCCGCCGTAGCAGGTGGCCACCGTGTGCAAGACGTGCAAACGCAATCTCGGCAGAGATCGGCGCAAGCTCCAAGTGGCGGCGGAGCGTGTGGTGGGACAAATTTTCGGCCTCCATCTGCGGCCGGCACGTGTTGAAGACGCGGCGCAGTATCGCACTCTCCTCTTTTTGCAGCGTTGCGAGCTCACTCGAAGAAAAGTTCCTGCCGTTTGCGCCGTACAACATTGTCCCCCGAACGAGCGATACGAGAATCGCGCGGCGCTGCTTCGCGGACAACCTGCCGAACCCGACCAGTAAGCGCTGCGCGCCGTAGTACGCCCGCCACCCCCTGTTGATCCGTTGCTGCATGTCACGGGAGTCGCACAAGTACACTCCGAGAAACTTGCAGATCTGCTCCGCCAGCGGCCCCATCTCACGTTTCGAGAGGTTCTCCTCCATCTGCGCAGATGCCAAAACATCCAGTGTGGCCTGGATCACGTCCGCATTGGGCTGCCCTCCTAACGATTCGCCAACCAGGTTGGTGTCGTCGGCGAACTTCCCGCTGCCGACCCGTCTCTCGCCCCGCTTGCTCGCCTGCGACGCCCTCAGCAAATTCTCCAGCTTCTCCTTTTCTGTTGCCGCGTAGGAACTGTCCGTGGGGTAGCGCAACAAAAGGCCCGCATTGTCGAGGTTCTTCTGCTCCGGTGGAATTACTGCCCGCGCGCGCCGCATCGATTCGGATACCACTGCATACGTGAGTGTAAACATGCAAGGACTTGACGGACAACCCTCTTGGAGTCCAATCGGAAGAATAAAATCTTCCTGCTCGCGCGCTTCCTGGCACCATACGTCGCGGTGGCAGGCCGACAACCCTGCCCAGGTGCGTGTTTGCGAAATCCCGAGCCGATCGCTGACCGACGTGACACATTCCCAGCTCAATGATGGGAATGCCTTCCTTAAATCAAGAAACAGCCCCCAGGGGACCGCATACTGTTCATGACTCTGGAAGTCGCGAGCATCCTCAAGCATGCGCCGGAAGAGCACCAGGGCGTCGCTTGCGTTTCTCCCGGGAACAAACCCGAAATTTTCGGGATCTATCAGGCCGTGCTTGACGATGACGGCCTGAAGCCGCTTCGTGAGGCAGTGCGCGAGCACTTTTGTCACCGTCGGAACCGCCGATATCCCACGATAATTCGTGAGTTTAGTCCTGTCTCCCGATTTGTGTTGTAGCGTGATCCTGGCCCGCCGGTACTTGCGATCGACGCGTTGGAGGCCCCACCCGGCCGCAAGCTCGCAGTTCAGTTCGTCTAAAAAGATCTGCGTGCAAGTGTCGTCCAGCGCGTCGAAGACCTGCTTCGACCAGGATTGGGAGTCGTTCCCCGGCCGCACCTCCTTCAGCGCCTTCCGCCACTCGGCGAGGTCGATTGGCCGATCAAGGTCTTGCACACAGCTCGGCGGAAGCGGGTCAACATACTCTGTGGCGTCGAAACTGCAGTGCGGATGTGCCTTCGCGACGACCTGCGTGAGGTAGAAATCCGCCCAGCCGCCCGGCGCAGTCGACGGACCCCGCTGCTTCTTGCACCCTCCGATGTGCGCCCAAAGCGCCCGGAGCTTCGATGGGCAGCCCGCTGGAGCAGCTGCAGCAGCAGGGGCGCATTCTTCGCGGATGCGCTTCTGCTCTTTCTTGTCGGCCCGAATGCGGAGAGCCCGCTCCTGCCCAGTTTCCATCAAAACTGCCTCTGACTCCGACATCGCCTCCAGAAACTTTTGCAGGCCCGAAGGCGCATCGCCGTCAGGATCAGTGGGTGCTTCCTCACTACCGTCGGCGGGGGACTGGCTGGCAGCGGTCTGGGAACGCAGGGTGGACAGCACCTGGTCGGAGAAGAAGGTCCGTATCTCCGGCGTGATCGGGACAACCCCGACCCATTTCTGCCCTTTCCGTGTTTGCCCCGTCGCCCCGTGCTCTACGTCAACCCGGGGAACCGCGAGCGTGATGGTCTTCCCGTAGTGGTCCAGCGCTGTTGTGCCATCTTCCCGTAGCGTAGTCTCGTCGCGTAGAACTTCGCACCGCTCAATCTTCTGGACCCGCCCCAAGAAGCGGCCAGCCGTGATGAAGCCGTCAACCTCGGATCGCTGCTCCCCCCGAAAAAAGGTAAAGCGGTCGTCGCCGTTGTCGCCAATCTCGAAGAACGAATCAACGAGGCGGAGGTTGTTCTTGGACAAGAACCGCAGCAGCGCGTGCCCCTTGGGGCTTGTGGCCTTCGTCGTACATGCGTGCTCCCCGACCGCAAACCCGGAAACCTCGGCCCCAACATGGCAGTTCAGGTCCCCCGCGATGAAGAACGGAAGGTCGCGGCGGCCCTTCCGCCGCAGCGTACGGCGTACGTACCTGCCAAGGTCCCGCAGGTAGGCTGAAACGTCAGCGGGGTCAGCATTAGCGGGTGCGTAGGCGCTGAACAGCGTGAAGTTGCGGAAAAACCCCGTGCAAGTTCGCTCCCGTACTTCGAATTTTTCTGCGAGGTCTTCGTCGGTCAACCTGGTGAGCTCATCGAGCACCGGCCCACCGCGGACTGCAATGCCTGCGCCCGGTCCAAGGCAGGCAATGTATCCCCGCCCCCGCGTCACGTAGTCCTTCGTCGCAGCGAAACAGGGCGGGGGGTGGTCGGGGCAGGAATCTGCGCCATCATTTGCTGCTCCGACTTCCCGCATGATCTCCCCGTTTAGGCGCTTGACACCGACAAGCCCGCACCCCGACTTGCCCCACCGTGTCTCCGAGAGGGCGATGACCCCGAACCGCTCCGGGGCGTTTTGCAGAATGCGGTCACGAGCGTCGACCCCTATCACCGCCTCCCGCACATTTTGCGTCGTGATTTCTATGCTGTCGCAGTCGCCCGCCTGCCCCACATTGAATACGTTGTAGTCGGCACAAGGCTTGTGCGCAAAACGGGAGTAGTCACAGGTCTTCCCGCTGTTCACCTTCTTCTTGTTGTCCTGCGGGGTAGGGCCCGCCCTCGCCTCAGTCCCCGCGTCCGCATCTGCTGCCGAGCCTGCTGCGGCTTTCCTTGCTTGTCGTGCTTGGCGGCTAGCAAGAACAGTTTCCGCGTAGGAGGGCCGTATCTCCGCTGCGTAGTCGGCTGGACGGGAAGCGCGCCCACTCGTAAGCCGCAAGCTGTACTTCGAGACCCGAAAGCCACCGCCACTGCTGGACGGCTGCATTGCTATCCCCTCACTCGCAAGACCGACGACGACCTTCACAGCATGTCGAACACAGGAACTTCTATTTGCGCGGCGAATTTCAAACAACTTATTCTTCCGTAGGCACTTCTTCTTTGCTTTTCCGAGAGACGAGCGAAACAGAGTGCTGCATTTCTTCCAAACATTCGTCAAAAAACGGCCACAGTGCTTCAGTGATGTGTTCGCGATTCCAACAAAGTAGCTCATCTTTATCTTCAATTCAAGCGCCGCCACAATGCAGCAAGCGGCCCCGGTGCGTAAGAGAAAGCCCGCAAATCCGTCTGCGCAGGTGCTGGAGCCCTTTGTCTCCGCGCCGTGCTGAAAAAATACAACTCCCTTCGGGATGCAGTTGCGAGATCTCCGATCTGGGTCGGTAATGCCGGGTTGAAAAAATACTGCTCGTGAGAAAACTACTGGAGATGTGCATGTAGAAGATCTTGCACAAATTTTGACTGCTTCGGTTCCAAAACTGTAGATGTCGCTGAGAACGTTGTAGAGCAATTTCCGGTGATAAAAAAGATGTCGAGCGAAATCATAAACGGAGGGCAGGGTGAGCAGCTGGATCAAGGGCGCGAGAAGGTGAAAGGTGGTGACCCAGCTCCAAGTAATGAGGCAGAAGAGAACAATGAGAAAGTCGACCACAACTCCGCCTAGCGGGACGCCGTCGCCGTAGCGCCAGCAGCCATCGATGCTGCGGCAGCCGCCGCTCCCGATCCCAGCACCGGCACCGTCCGCTTCGCGCGCGAATCCTCCGTGTTCTTGTCCACACCGTCGTCCCGCTGCCGCTTTGAAGCGGGGGGACCGGTGTCCAGATCCGCTGCTTGCTCGCTTCCCGGCCTCGGTTCCTGCGGCGGTACTACGAGTTGTGGCGGGGCTGCCGTCGCTGCCGAGGCCTGGGCTCCCACCGGTCCGCCCACCGCTCCCTTCATGCCCAGCGTAGCGCCTTTCTTCCCGAACAGCGATATCTGTGATTTTAGAGGAGTCATGAAGATCGTGATGCGCATGGATAGGGAAGTACTTAGCGCCATTGCCATAGGTGTTCGTCATATTTGCTGCGTACGTGCTTCCGGTCGAGGAGAGTGAGGTCTTGTAGGCTTTGCGACCCGCAACTCGAACTAGAGATGGATCGAGCACGATGTCGTGATTGGCCACCTCGTTATTCTGGCTCTTCTGCTCGGTGACCACCTCCACATTCGTAGGCGGAGGCCTCGCCGGCTCGAGCGATGGATTGCGGAGTGCGTTACAAACATTTATTACCTGACTCATCCCTGTCTGTATCGACTGCATCATGGCCTGGAGCTGGGCGTTAACTTCGACCTTGAACCCCTCGATGTGGTTCTCACAAGCCCCGACCCTCCTCTGCAATTCCTCGCGCGTGGTGAGCATGTCCTCGCGCAGCGTGGCAAACTCCGTATCACATTGTCCCTGTAAGGTCGAGAAGTGGTCCCGCGCCGCTTCGATGCCGGAGGTCGCCGCGTCGATCTTCGCCCCCTGGTCCTCGACCTTGGCCTTCATCTGTTCGAATTCCTCGTCGCGGGCCGCCAATGCTTCGTCGATGAGCACCCGGACCTCGTCCCGCGTAAGCATGTTGTCGCGGCCGGGGTTGGCGCCTAAAGCAGGAAACGTACCGCCCTCCTGCAAAGCCTGGGCGTTACGCCACGGCGCGGGCGTCGGTTCTGCAAAGGTGAGCGGCTGACCGGTTTCCGTTACGAGTTGGACGTCACGCGCAATCCAGGACCAGTGCTGCTCCCCGGTGAGCGGGTTCCTCCGCTTGTACGTGTCGATAACAAACTTCACATGGGCGCCCGGCTGCAGTTCGCTCGGTCGCTGTCCGTACTTAACGCTGCCGATTGTCGAGTAGATGCCCTTGAACCAGCCCCGTTCGGTCCGCTCCGATCTCCACTCCCCGATTCTCGTCGCGCGGAGGGGCTGCACCCAGAAAAAACCGTTGGTCACTGCTTTCGTCTTGGGGTCCCGCCCGAGATTCAAGATCTGCCCCAGTACATATCCGCCAGGGAGGAGGCAGTTCAGACCAGCAGGCTCCACATCACTGCTGTCGAGCGTAGCACTGTAGACTTGTTTCCTGCCGGTGTAGCTGTTGTTTTCGTCCGCACCACCGAACGCCGGGAACGTGGTGGAGGACGACGCCGTTGCATTTGCCATTGCGCTCTCCTGCATCGTGACGTCGCTGTCAACGGCCATCCTCGACGCGCCGTAGCGCTCGAGGCAGCCGGAACGTCGGAAGTGCCGCAGTCAGGTCGCAGGGTGTAGGTAAGCCGCAATCAAAAAGTTGCGATCAGGAGAAACATCTTAACTCCAACGGAAGGCGCCTGGAGGCTAGCGCTCTCAACTATCAGTACTCAGTACGCACTCTCAGTACGCACTCTCAGTGGCACTCTCGAAAGTGATTAACATCTACCATTCCTTGCAGAAATAAAGTTAAACTTAATATGCTTCAGTACATATCATCTTCTCCGATGCAACGATTCATGTTCTTGGCGCAGAAAGTGAAAGTGATATTCCACCTCCATATCTTGCCCTTGGACGAATCCACGCGCACGCGATCCACTTCCATGAACCCCTTGGCCGAGGACTCGCTCCCAGCCCATTCGTGGGTCGCCTTCCCGGCTTTCTGGACCGCCGCCGCAAACATTTGCTCGCCCGCCAGCGGCAGCAGGCCAGAACCGGCCGCTCCGATCTTCGCAAACTTCTTCATGATTTTGGGTTTTTTGTCCTCGTTTATTCCTCCAGAGTACAACAAAGCAGCGAACAAGGCTTGCTTGGTCTAATTAGGTTGTTTCTAGTTTTGAGCTTTTTCTTCGAACTACACTGTACACCGAGGCACAGAGGTCGACGACGTGGTGTTTGGTTTATTTCCCCGGGGAAAAAAACGAAAATTCCTGTCGTTGACATGGAATTAATGGATGAAAAATGAAATGATTTGGCTTCGGTAAGGTATGACAATCCATATACGGAGACGACCACTTTCATCAATGACCTTCGGTTCTAGAATCGAAACGACGTGGTCAAAATCTTGCCCGGAGTTGTGCGACGATGGGTCCGAACGAAATGACAGCTCCAGTACGATCACTTTGTTAAATCCGTTGTTTACGAAACGATTTTGGTGAACGTCGAAGTGCGACGAGGAGCGAGCAGAGGTGTTGTACACACTACACGGAATCTGTTCAAGTATCATTTCTGCACGAATACGCCATCGACGGACGAGCAGAAAGCCAGTTGTCACGACAGTTTATTTTTGATGCTCACGTAGTTGTGATGTATGAGTCGTGCCAAGGAAGGAGATCGATGACTGAGTAATAGTTTTTGTCGCTGCCTCGAAGATCATTTTCTCGTCACTTCTTGTGGGTGTAGCTGGTTTTGAGTAAACACAGCTTCAACACCTCACCACAAGCTCAGCAGCTGGAGACGACGCACAGTTCGTTGCTAAAAAACGGTTGCACTACTTTTGGTTGGACGAGGATCTTCCGGGGGGAAGCAGGCAATCAATTTGCTCGCGCAAAAAAACAAATGAAAGTTCGAAATCGGAATCATTCATGACTGATTGTAGAGGTTCACTCCTTGTTGTGTTTCCACCAAAGTCCTTGGCTTCACCATCATGTAGTGTGTCAACTTCAACATGGCTGCAAAAACAGAAATTCGCTCCTTGCATGTCGATACGACTCCCTGGCAGTCGAAGAAGTCAATATCGTACTTACTACTTCTTCTGTGATAAAAGTAAAACTGTACGCCTGTCGAAGCATCCTGCCGCGTCTCGGGTTTCGTCTCCCCTCCCCGGCAGTCGCCCTCACAACGCTCGTGGTTGAGAGTTTCTACTCACCAGCACCCATATCAAATGGAAAAATGTCTGGGTCTGGAAGCTTGCCAGGTTTGTGTTGCATATTTTGGAAGACTCGTGATGTCTGTGATGCATGCTCTAGCATGACAGATTTTTCGAGGCCTTTGTGATGCCTCTACCGCATGAGACATGCCCTCTCCACGTAGCACAAACTGGAGTCCTTTTGCTGGTCATGCAATACAAATTTTTTTAGAATCCAGAGACAGCGTCACAAGTTTAGAATCTTCCAGACCCAGACATTTTTACATTTGATAACCCAGATCATCGGGGACCGTTTCTTGCGACGCCGAAGCCGCTTTCCGCCGGTCTTCCAGGTATTGCAATGAAAAATGCCCCCACCCCAGAATGTGCAAAAGTTTCTGATGCAAAGTTTCCAAATGAAAACTTTTTGTCTTGCATGGAAGGACTGCGAGTCTTTCTAATGCAGAATCTAGGCACGCAAGGCATCTTTTGCATAAGAGATCCGGCTGGTGTTGGGCTCTTTGCAATACAAATTTGAGCTCTTCAGCGTGAAAAATTTGTGATGCTGATATATGCAAGACGGGGAATGTTTCTTTTTGAAAGGTTTGCAATACAAATGCTGCCAACTTGTGGGGTGGGGGGCATTTTTCATTTTAATACCAGGATTTCCTCCTCGATTGTGTTTTTCGCCACGAAACGCCAGATCTTCCCTATGACGCGCTCAGACAGAACGAAAGTCTTGACAGGAACATCAATTTGTGATGAAGAGAGCGAATAATCTCGGTAAAGCGTCTTTGCGATTCGCGTAGCAAACCTATGAAACCCCAAATCGCTGGGTTCGCACTCGCAGTGAAAATCAAAATGATACACAACCTGTCATGCAAAGCAGAAAGGCGCACCCTCCGCTTCGGCACATTATGCAAGACAAATTTCCGCGCTACACTGTTCCAGGTCAGATTTTTGTTCCCGCTGAGCATGGCATATTCACAGGCTTCTTCTGGCCGTATCGCAACACTCGCCCGACCGCCTGCTTCTCGTAATTCAAACACTTTTCCTCGGATTCCGCGTCGAAAAACGGATATGAAGTGGAAAAAAAAGCTAGCATATTGTTCACCTCTAATGCGCAAACAAAGACTGAAATCTTTTTCTTTTCTATCTTGCCAAGCACGTTTGTCCGAGCAGGTGAGTGCGCGACAGCGCAAAGAGATAGTTTAGCTTCTGACTCTGTCTGAAGATTTTGAGTCGGCAATGATATTCAGCCAATTGGGTATCGATTTAGGACCTTCTGCACGACCCGACGATGATGACTGAAGATCGAAATATGCTATTCTTTTTTCCCCCACATACCGGATGCACCAAGAAAACGTGATTCGCTTGGGTCAGGTTAGCCCCGCTCGCCGCGTCTTCCATCGAGAGGATCAAAACCCGGTACTTCTTGTCGTCCTTCGCAAATTTATCGAAAATGATTCTCTTCTGGTGCGTTGTGCCCTGCAGGGTGAGGTGCGGCACTCCGAATTCGTCGAAGGCCTTGGCAATTTTCCGCTTCAGGTCCTCCCACTGGACGAAGAGAATCACCTTGTCCTCCGCGGGAATGAACATCGAACTTGATGTTCCATTACTGGTCTTTTTCCCGCCGGCTCCACCAAGAGCTACTGGCGCAACAGAAGAAGCAGCAGCAGCTCCGTTCGGATTCGTTGCAGTTGCAGCTCCGGTTGTTGTATTAAAACCTCCACCGGACGATGTTGTCACGTCGCCGCTCGTTTTTAGCAGTTGCACGATCTGCTTCAGTTTTGAGCCGTACTTCCCGATGATACTGGAGTCGTCTTCCATATCAAATGCAAAAATGTCTGGGTCTGGAAGAATGCAGAAGTTTGTCATGCAGATTTTCCATGACCCATGAGATCTGTGACGCATGCCCTAGCATCAGAGATTCTGCGAGGGCTTTCTGATGCTCATACCGCATGAGAAATGCCCTCTCCGCGTAGCACAGATTGCGCCTCTTATGGTGCTGTTCATGCAATACAGATTTTATGTAGAGTCCAAAGGTAGCATCACAAATCCCATTCTTTCCGGACCCAGACATATTTGCAATGCATATTCTAGCTTGTCGAGCAACTCTTCGGCCTCGTTGCGCCCGAGCGTTAGCCGGCACAGTTCGCTCGCCTTTACGTGCCCCGGACACCTCTTCGGGCACGTCGGGCCGTGGGCATTGCCCTGTTGCCGATTGCACTGCTGCACAAGGTATACATCGGAAATAAGTACCCCTGGAGGTGTGGAAATTTGTGTTGCTCGCGACGCTCGCATAGCAGAGTAGCCACTTGCACTTGCACGGCATACTTAAAAGCATCAGAAATTTTACGAGGCTCGTTATTGCATACTTATTTGCAAAACGACCGAAAAACTGGCTTCCAGCACGACAGAAAAGTTGGACGACCAGCACCGTGGTAATACTCAACATCCATGGTGCACTTTTACAGTTCTTGTTGTCCTTCAGATTTCGCATCACAAAACCAGCCCCAGATACATTTGCAATGCATACGGCGCAGTCGTAGCAGAGGAAGTGCGAGCACGGCCACATTCCGGCCTCCGTGCAGTCTTCGTCCATGCTATGGCGTTCTCAACCGTTACATTCTCAACTGTTGCATGAACTTGTGATGCAAGAATGACAGAACTGAAAAGGGGAAGATTGCGCCAGTTGCATTACAAGTTTGGCGCAGATTCTGAGCCTGTTTAGCGCTTCGAGAATTTGTCATGCGAAGCAGCTTGCTCGTGCCGATTCTGATTGTGCGTTTGTATCATAAATTCGTGTATACAGTTGAAAATGTAACATTTGAGAACTCCATACATGCAGGCTTCGCATTCGAAGCGGTCCTTCTCCATCACCTTCATCATCTCGTCAAAAAACATTTTGTCGGAACTATGCACCTTCACAAAAGTCGTCTCTAGGTTGACAGACCGCATCACAAATTATTTCGCTCTTAGCGGCGAACGTTTGTCATGCAAGCTGCACATCGCGAAGATCACCATAAGACAACTACACGAAGAAGAAGACCTTTTGCGTTTGGATAACGCACGGCGCGCTGGAGTTTGGCGAAGGCCTCCTTTTCGATAGCCTCGTAGTGGTTCACCGCGTCTTGGAATTTTTCGAGCGTGTTTACGTCTCGGTCGGTCCGCAAGTGCTTGGGGTCATCCTTGGCCGCGTTAACAATCTCCGTGGCCATGATCTCCTCCGCCGAGCCCTTCTCCGGCTGCGCCTGCTTCCGGACCGTCCGTCCGTCGTCAGTTTTCACCTCCTCACTTTCGCCGTACCGCTGTGTGTTTTGCGCAAATAAATTTCATGTCGGTTCTGGAAAGGGTCTGCAGGAGGCAGATACCCCGAGCGGGAAGATCATGTCGGAAGTAAACTACAGTCACGAAATTCAATGAAACAAAGACAAACGAGAGACAGCGTACACAATCGATAGGGAAACTGGTGTTCCTGTAGTTGTCGAAAAAAGTAAATAAATACTAGTGGTGGTATAATACCAAAAAGTATTTCTTCAGCCGGGCTCTGCGCTGGTCCTTCATTTCCTCGCGCTTGGTTTCGTTTCGCGTGTCCTGCAGGGTGATCATGTACCCACGAAGACAGGCTTCGAACTTCCGGCAGCTGTCCTGCAGCTTCTGTATCCAGCCAAAAAACTTCACTGTGTTGACATCCATATTGCACAAAGTTCTTGAAGAAGGCCCAAAAATGCTTTTTGTATTTCATCGCGAGGGCGTCGTATAGTTCATCAAACACCAACTGCGAATTTTCTTCGTCAACAGATCGCGCACGCGAACCGGATCTAGTCATGCACATGATCAACATGCTCGCGATTATGCAAAAAGGAAAAGCGAAAAGTGTCAGCACGGAACTTCTTTATACAGAAGTTTTTTTTCACCTGTGATAGTCCGCCGACACGCTTCGATCGCGTCCTTTTTCCGATTATCAAATGTAAAAATGTCTGGGTCTGGAAGGGTTTAACTTGTGATGCTACAGTTGCACTCTACGTAAGATCTGTATTGCATGAACGGCAAAAGAGATGCACTTTTGCTACGCGGAAAGAGAATTTCTCATGCGGTACGAGCATCAGGGAGCTCTCGCAGAATCTCTGACGCTTGGGCATGCATCACAGACATCATGGGTCATGGAAAATATGCATGACAAACCTGGCACTCTTCCTGACCCAGACATTTTTGCATTTGATACCGATCCTTAATACGGCCGGTTTCGCCCTGGTCGCTCTTGGTCAGATCCCCCTCTCCGTGGTCGTCGCGCAAGAAATGGGAGCAGAGTTTTAGCAGCGTCTCCTTTTTCGAATTGGATTTCCGGGACACCTGCTGCAACTGCTTCTTCTCGTTCATGCTGAGCGAGATGATACTGCTGGTGGCCACCCCGCCCCCGGCGCCCGCGGCGCTCGCGTCATCCTTCAGTTGGTGGGCGCAGTCCAGGTAGATGGCGTGCTCGTATTTCGACTGCTGCACCACCACCACCTTCTCTTCTTTCGGAATTGTTACGTTGGCCAAGGTGTTGGACCGCACGAAATCTCGAAACACTTGCTCGTTGTGCTGCACTATCAAATGCAAAAATGTCTGGGTCTGGAAGATTGCGAGATTCGTCATGCTAGTCTGGCATGACTCTTCACTCTGTATTGAGTGGCCACCAACAGGCCCTCTTGCCTGTCATGCAAAAGCGAAGTTTCTCATGCGAAATACGCAGCACAGAAACACGAAAAAACTTGTCATGCCTGGCGGCGCCTTACAGAGGGACTTGCATCACAAGTTTCCAGACCCAGACATTTTTGCATTTGATATGCACCGGCGCCAGCACGGACTTCCCGTACGTGAAAAACGACAAGAATTGGTTCAGCACCATCCTGTTCTGCAGCGGTAGCGTGCCGGACAGGGCCCAGCGGTAGGAGCTCCGGATCTTTTGCAGGCAGATCAGAGCGCGGCCGAGTCGGTCGTTATGGAAGAGAAAAAGATTGTTTTGTTAGTGTAAAAAAAAACTTTGTGATGCCACACGACAGCATGCAAGATGATTGCGTTTGTGTCTATCTTCACGCTGGTCTATCTTGCGTCTGGGTCTATCTTCGTAGGGGGCATTCATTCAAAAAAAAGGTACTACACTCTACGTACAAACTTTTCCTCATCTGATAGTAGTACGTGTGCGGGTACAGGCTCGCTGCGTGCGCGGAGGAAGACAAGGAGGAAACCACGTCGCGCGGCGAGCTGGATTTCAATGCGGCGTACCCCCCTGCAGTTCCACCTGCAGCAGTTCCCACGGCCGCGACCACATTCTGCAGATCGTCCAATTTCGAGTTTCGCACGGCGGTCCGCGCGTTGGCCTCCGAGGAAGGCAGTTTCGTGTCGAAGGACTGTATCACACAGAAAAAAGCTGGCAGGGCATGTTTGTAATGCAAAAATAAATACACAAAAAATCTGCATTGCATATCTGAAACAGCATGCTATGGAGCCAAGCATGGCAGATTTTTCTGTGCATTTATTTTTGCATAACAAATATGCCGTGCCGCCTTTTTTCTGTGGGATAGACTGCAAATCTTGCGCAAACTCCGCGGCTTCGTGCAGTTCGTCGGCCACCACGCGACGGAAATAGAAGAGCTCCAAGACTGGTATAACCTGCTCAAGTGTTACAATCTCAAACGTCACAATAGAATCTGGAATTTGCCTTGCATGAAGAGCATAAGGAACGTACAGAGTCTTGCGCTTTTCGCAATACAAATTTCGCCAGATAATTCTAGTGCGGTTTGGCACTCCAGAACTTGTCATGCGCAATCCTGTGCGAGTTGGCTGGATCATGTTGCACTTCTAGCATCACAAAATCCAGATTCCAATGTAACAGTTGAGATTGTAACGTCTGAGCGGGTCATAACTGGAAACCGGAAGCTGACCTCATCGTAGCGCTGCATGCGGTATCAAATGTAAAAATGTCTGGGTCTGGAAGGATGCGAACTTGTGATGGGTGTTGCGGATCATACAAAAATCTGTGTTGCACGACTTGCAAAAGGTCCCCATTTCTAGCCATACCGAGGGGGCATTTCTCATGCAGAATAGGCATCACCAAGGGGCTGCAGAACCTGTTATGCTACGCGCTGCATTCGAGACTTGGCGGAGCTTGGAAAAACTGCATGACAAATCTCAGAATCTTCCAGACCCAGACATTTTTACATTTGATATGCGGTCCGCGAGATCCCGTAAGTCCGCGAACTTGCACTCGAACTCGTTCTCCCACAGGGAGGACAAACCCCAGTTCAGCTTGCGGTTGTGCACCGCTTGCTTGCTCGTGTTGTTCGTCGCGGCGGTGTGAAAATTATCCTGCTCTTCGGCGGAAGAAGACGAAGAAGAGGACGTGGCTTGCTTCGCCTGCTTATCGAGGAAGTCCGCGAACAAATTATTTCCCGTCGAGGAGGTGGAGGGGACTGCACCAGCATCGGAGGCCGATGCTCCTCCGGCACCAGCTGCTGCGCCAAAAAACAAGCCGCCGGCTGTACTGGAAGAAGCACCGCTGTTGTGCGAAGTTGTTGAACCAAAAGCTGGCATTTTTCCGTAGTTGCCATCATTCTTATTTCCACCCACAACAGATCGCGATTGCGCTTGTTCTGCTTGTACGCCACTAGTTGTATTATACGCGTTCGCTTTACTGGCCTGGAGATCCATTTCTGAGACCTTGCCCACACCGTACTTTTCCTCCTTCCTCGCGAAGGACGTGAACTTCGCGTCGGTGTTGCAGTACTTGCAGAGCTCCTGCACCCGGTGCTTGTAGCCCGGGGAGTCAAACACCTTGCTGTTGCAAAGAATCACGTCGTGGTTCAGGATGTCCGCGACGGTGCGCGCCTTCAGGTCGCTCAGCGTCGCGATTTGCATCACGGCAAAGTCGTTGCCCACAAACCTGGTGATCTCCTCGAACCACTGCGCGAGGAGGTGGGGCGGCATCACCACCAGGGTGCCGCGGTGGGTCCGGTGGGACCCCGTCCGTTCGCCCCAGAACTTCAGGTCGGTGCGCTTCGGGCACTGCTGCTTCAGCGTCCAGTCCATCAGGCCGATCATCAAACTATCAAAGTGAAAAACTTCCCCCCCTATCAAATTGGAAGTCTGTGATGCGGGATTTGTGTACACAAGTCATTTTCTCATGCTAGAAGGAGAAAGATGCGAAGTGTAGTGCTGGGTGGCGTGGGAAAGCCTCGCCTCTTCACCATGCCAGGAGGCAGCTGGAAGTGGGAAACAGCATGACAAATTGCCGGCAAGCGGGGCCCCAACTGCATCTCTTGGTCTTGGCCTTCTAGCAATACAAGTCGACTTGTGTACTCAAATCGTTTTCGATATGGGGAGGGGGGATTTTTCCTCATGATACAAACACGTCTTTCCGTACCCCAGTTGGTCATTCAGAATCCCGCCGCGCACCCGGATCTTCGGCCCCTGCACCCGCATCTCGACGAAGTCCGTCTTGATAGCGCCACTCGCAGTACCACCGCCGCCACCGTCGGCGGAGGGTAGTTGAAGCTTGCCGCCGCTCTTCGAGGTGCTGTTCAGCAGCAAGTTCTGCTGCAGCGCGGCGGGGTAGTTTTTTTGCATATTGCAATGAAAAATGCCCCCACCCCAGAATGTGCAAAAGTTTCTGATGCAAAGTTTCCAAATGAAAACTGTTTGTCTTGCATGGAAGGACTGCGAGTCTTTCTAATGCAGAATCTAGGCACGCAAGGCATCTTTTGCATAAGAGATCCGGCTGGTGTTGGGCTCTTTGCAATACAAATTTGAGCTCTTCAGCATGGAAAATTTGTGATGCTGATATATGCAAGACGGGGAATAGTTTCTTTTTGAAAGGTTTGCAATACAAATGCTGCCAACCTGTGGGGTGGGGGCATTTTTCATTTTAATACTGCAGGTGGAAGAACTCCTTCTTCTTGTCCGCCGCCTGAAAATGTTCGAGATTTTCCCTCGCTTTCGCCACCTCCTTCTGTGTTCTTGTCTTCAGCTCCAGCAGCATGTCAATCGTGACCTGCCGGCTGGCGGCGAAGTGCGTGGGAAAGAGCAGTGGCTGCTGAATCCGCAGGCTGTCGCACCGACTGCTGTGCTGGTCCCGGTCAATCTGGGTGTGCGAAAACTGCCGACATCCAGAAAAAAAGTGTGTAAGTGTAACTGTCTTTGGCTGACAGCATCACAAATTTGCTCTACATGACAGAGAAAACCTGTCATGCGTCGCTTGTAAGGGAAAACACGCATGAAAATAGGACTTCGTGGCTGTTTGGCATGACAGGTGTAACTCTGTTGCATGTTCTGCAACACAAATTTACACTTACTCAGTTTTTTGCTTGCATAGCCGAAGCACGTCGTTCAACGGCTCCTCCAGCGCCTCGCGGGTCGTCTCCCCGCTGAACAGGTTCAGCGTCGCCACGGCGTTCTCACTCGCGCTCACCAGCTGCTCCAAGTCCTCAATCTTTTTCTCACGCTTCTGATCGCTTGCGGACTGATATGCGAGTGCACAACTCCCGCCCCTGCTCCCCCTCATTTGTATAGCATGAACAGCAATAGTACGCACGCCAGCTCGCGTGGAGCTCGTGCACGACGAGAATACTGCTTGAGGTTCCAAAATTTGCAATGCATACAGTGCCACAAGGCAGCAACTGGATTTGGGATTTTGCATCACAAGTGAGGGAGAGGGGGAGTTCTTGTGTACTTCTCTGATAACTGAAACACCATCTTCTCGTTGGGAATCGGCTCGCGCCACTCCATATCCAATGCAAAAATGTCTGGGTCTGGAAGGATGCAAGGTTTGTCATGCACATTCTGCATGACTCCTGATGTCTGCGATGCATGCCCTGGCATCACAGATCTTGTGAGGGCTTTCTGATGCCTCTACCGCATGAAAAATGCCCTCTCGCCGTGGCCAAAACCAGACCTCGTTTGCTCTTCATGCAATACAGATTTTTGGATAATGCAGACGCAGCATCACAAGTTGCATTCTTCCAGACCCAGACACTTTTACATTTGATACTCCACGTTCGCCAGTTGCAGGTAGTTTTTCGTGTTCTCCTGCTCCTGCTCCTTCATCCACTGCAACTCGCGCATCTGCTCCGGCCGCAGCTGAAAGCTGTGCTGCGTGAAGTGCCGGGGCTGCGGGGCCGCCGCGTTGCCACTGTTGTCTTGCGCAACCAAAGAGGCCGCGTCGAATACCGTGGCGCTGGACTTCTGCGTCTTTGGCCAGTCCTGCTGCTTCTGCAGCAGATCAGAACTTCCATCGGTGTTGTTCGCACTACCCTTCGAACCTGCCCGCTGCGGCGGTTGCTTTTTCTTCATGGCAGCAGCTTTTTTGATGTTCGCTGGGTTGACACTATTTTGATCTGCGGGCTGTCCATTTTCCTCCTGCGGAGGCTGGTGAAGATTATTTGCCCGTGATGAAACTAGTTCCGACTGCTCGCCAAAGACGGAGTCCGACGGGGATCCTCCTGCGGAGGGGTTTACTACACCGGGGGCGGCGTCCAGAGGAGAGGACGCTTCGACGAGCACCTTGTCATCCCGACAAGGGTCCAGAATCGTGATCTTGCTCCCGGTCCCCGTCGCCCCGGCCTTTTTCGTGACCGGATCTGCGTCGAGTAAGCGCGTATAGCTGGTGTTGACCTGGTGGTGTCCCCGAGGCAGTAAACCTCCTTGCAGCTGCCCCGCACCTGTGAAACTTGCACTGCTACTTCTGTTGTTCAGAACTCCGTAGCCACTGGCGAATTCCTTCAGCGGCTTGTTCTTCACGACACGCCAGGCCACGCGGGGTAGAACACAATTTTGCTCCTTCAGCCACGGTATGCATTGAAAAACCATCGCGCTTGTTGTAGCTAAAAATTGCACTCAAACATGACAAATCTCGATCTCCCTCCTAAGGTAAAAAACATTGCAAATCCAAATTCCACTTTTCTTCTACTTGAAAAATTTCATTGTGAACAAGATGCAATTTGTAGTACTTCTTACGATGCTTTTGCACTGCATACACGGCTCGAACCCCCCGTAGAAACCCTCACAGATGTATCAAAATGAAAGATCCCCCCTCCCCACATCAAAACGAAGTTTGTGATGCGGGATTTGCGTACACAAATCGGATTTGTCTTGCTGGATAGGACTGCCGGCCCATGCCGAGCCTGAGCAGAGAGGTTTCGGCCTAGGCTCTCAGCATGAGAAACGTCCGCGCTGTAGGCCCAGCAGCATCACAAACCGCCTGCATAATAAATGCGGCGGAGCCTGTGGCGTTGCCTTCTTGCAAGACAGAGGTGATTTGTGGCCGCAAATCAGCAATGCAAATTTTCTGCGACGTACCTTTTCGATATGGGGAGGGGGGATTTTTCCTCACAATAAGATGCCCTTGAACAGCACGTGGGGCGAAAAACCGGTCACCTATCAACTGTAAAAATGTCTGGGTCTGGATGAGTGCGCATGTTTGTCATGCTGCTCTTGCATTACCAAGGAGGTCTGTCATGCAAGCCGTAGCATCACAAGTCTTGAGAAGGTGTCCTCATGCCTAATCCGCATGACAAATCTCCTATTTTGGTGCCAATTTCTGGGCCGCATTTGCTGTTTATGCATGACAGATCTTTGTGTTGTCTGAAATTTGCATCACAAGTTGCAATCTTCCAGACCCAGACATATTTGCAATGCATATCACCGGCACATGGTTTATTTGCTGGTTTGTGGAGTTTATGCCGTCGTTTGATGTATCATGGGTTGTTGTGTTCAGATTGTTCAGCGCTGAGGAGGAAGAGGAAGAAGAACTGGCTGCCTTGCCCTTCTTGTTCACGACCCCGGCGCTAAAATCTCCTGCAGTAGCAGAACTCCCAGAAGTAGAAGAACTTGAACTGCCCGATGAAAAATCCCACATGCAGTCTTCGCGAAAGTCCCCCAACAGAACCCGTGCGACCTGGTTCTGCAGATTCGCGTCCGCCTCGTACGGCTTCAGAACTTTCTCCACGTCCACATCCAGCGACCCGTTGCAGCAGCTGCTGCTTTCCAGATACGCCTGCAAAGATTCTGGCGGAACCTCGGTGAAATTCTGCAGCGCCGTCGATTTTCCCGCGAGGTACGTCAGCGGCAACGGCTCGTAGAGGGAGTTTCCGGGTGTGGAGGTTGTTGTATTTTGTGATAATTGGTGACTTGCTTCTGCTTGATGTCCTTGTGCTTTCTTCTTACCTCTCGTAGTTCCTGACGACGACGCAGACGCCGAGCTTTGCTGCACAGTAGAGATGACACCAGAACTGCTGCTCGCCGCGCAAGAACGACCCAGGCAGTACTGCACAAACGCCTGCCGCTTTCCCGCGTCGAGATCCTCACTGCCCGCTCGCAGGTGCCGGCTCGTAGTTGTTGATCCTGCGAAATTAGCACCCGATGAGTCCTTTCGGCTTGCCGCGCCAGCAGCTGGTGGTCCTCCCTGCTTCTTGCTCTTGTTCGATACTAGTTTATTTCCGCTTGTCATCGGTTTGGCAGTTTCCTTCTCTGCGACCTCGACTGCATTGAAGTTCTCCAGTTTGAACGACTCCACAGCCGTGTCATCCAAGTCCATCGCGATCTTCTCGGTCACACCGTAGTCTTCCTGGTTGCCATATGGATTACAAAAATGTCTGGGTCTGGAAACTTGTAATGCTGCGTTGGGAATAATGAATGCTCTGTAATGCACAGCCAAGCATGAGAAATGTCTGCGCTTCTTTGTGTTGCGCTTGCGTTTTTCGCGTGACAAACTGCGTTTTTGCATGACAGGCAAAAGAGTCTCTTCTTGGACACGCATCACAAACTTTTTGGTCCTGCCAGACAAGCATGACAAGTCTCGCAATCTTCCAGACCCAGACATTTTTGCATTTAATATGCCAAAGTGGTCGTACCCTGTGGCCACGTCCGCCTCCTGCCACAACCACGTCGGGTTCGCGGCCTTCTTCTTGTTGTTCTTCCTTTTTGGTGCCTTCTTCCCCAAGGCCGCCAGCTTCTGCCGCTCCTCCTCCTCCTCCGCCGCCACGCGCGCGAACACACTACCAGTCCTATCCTGTGTAAAAACGTCCCCACCCCAGAGTTGTCATGCAAATGTGCAATGACAGGAAGATTTGTAATGCGCCCTTCCATGAGAGGCATTTCCAGTCGTGTTTTGAAATTTGTAATGCTGTAAACAGGACGAGAAAATGGCTTTGTCATGCGGCTTTCCTTGCCAGCCAGTACTACACTGCAGATGGAAACTTGTCATGCAGAACCCCCAAAACTTGGGGATTTGTGTTGCAGACTTCCCATCTTGACTATGGTGTGGGGACGTTTTTACATAGGATAAGTCCTTGTTCCGCCTGCTTTTGTGGTGTTCTTGTTCAAGTCGGTAGGTGTTTCCTCCTCTTCTATCTTTCGCTTTTTCGTCATCTTGGTCGACATCGAGGTAGTCCCTTCTTCTTCCTCGGAGTCACTTAAAATCTCCCAGATTCGCCCGCTCTCGATCTCGCTCTTGTACAGCGTGCGCAGGTATCAACTGTAAAAATGTCTGGGTCTGGAAGATTCTGACACTTGTCATGCACGTTTTGCATGAGCCCTGATGTCTGTGATGCATGCCCTAGCACCACAGACTTTTTGAGAGCTTCTGGAACTGGATGCATATTCCGCATGACAGATGCCGTCACCGCGTAGCAAAGACTACATTCCTTTTGGTACTCATACAATACAGATTTTTCTGGAATCCAAATGCAGCATCACAAGTTGCATTCTTCCAGACCCAGACATTTTTGCATTTGATAGCAGGTAGTACTCGTTCGGATGCTCGTTCGCATCGTCGTCCTCGTCCAGCATGTCGTCTACATCAAAAATTTCCGCCGCAGCTCCAGACGCGCCGTTTTCACGACCATTAGCACTTTTATTTCCCTTCGCAGAAGATGTTGGACCTGCTACGGACGAGGAGGACGCAGCAGCCGCACCGGCAGCACCAGATGAAGCTGCTGCACCTGTGGGAAAGTAAAACGCGTCGTCGAGCGAAAACGGATCTAAAATGTCGTCTTCTACCGAGGAGGAGAGGAAGTCACCCGCCCCCTCATGCTGGTGATCCCATAGCATCGAGTCGTTCAGGTCCGCGTGGTCCTGCCTCCTGTTTATTTTACCGGGCCCTTTCGCAGAAGCTTCTTTCGCCTTCATCTTCGCGTCTAGCTTCTCAAGGTGCCGGTAGGTTACCTGCTTCTTTGATGACGTGGCTCCTCTTTCCGACAGAGTTCTTTTGCCACTTTTCATCATCTCGTTTGGAAGAAATCCCTCATCATCCGAAGAGAGAGGGACGAGAAGCGTTTCCTTGTTCCCGGAGGAGGTTCTCGACGTCTTATTTTTTTCGCCATTTTTGTTCTGATCCTTCTCTAGAACGCTCTGGTTTATTTTCACAGTGCCAAACTCGTCCTCCCAGGCGTCCTCAGCCATCTCGCGTCGCTCCTTCGCCGTAAAATTCTTCGCATCAAGGGACACGTCCATGAGATCCTTGATGTAACCAAGAATCCACGTCTCCTTCTCGGCGTTGCCGTCCGCCTGCCCGGATGGGTCGCCCATTTTGATGAAAATTTAAATTTTCTGCTTCTGATACTCTTCTATTGCGACTTGCTACACAGCAGGTGGCACTGCAATGATATTTGAAAACAAATCAAAGACACTTCATCTTGACGATTGTCATTCTGCACTATGGCAGCTTGCACATGAGCTACAACCTCGTCGGCCTCCTACCTATTGCGAAGACCTTATTGCGAGGACAAGTTCTCTTATCGTCGATTAGGAAAGTGACTAAGCAGAACTAGGAAAAAGTGATACAGGTGAGTCTTGCATTCCGTCGTGCTAGCTCGTGTCGCCTGAAGCAAAAGTTGTCGAATAAATCTACTCCGCTTCGCGTTGGATAAAACTATAAAGAAGGCGCTTGCAGCACATAACAGGCGCGACGAAGATTGTGGTCGTCCAACAAAAATTTCAATAAAACGTTTAAAAAAATTCTACTTCGGATGTAGTGATACATTAAGGACCACTTGTAGACATCAGTGCGACTGGTCGTGTGCTGTACACGTTTACTCAGTGTCAGTTGTGAGGATCGCGTTTGTTATATTACTTTCGAAACCTTCATCTTCTCTCGTCTCACATCCTCAACTCACGAGCTTACGACGTTTACAACTACTTACTTCCCCGAATCAATACTAGCTTCTCTTCATGCCACAGGAATGAATCTGGTTCCCGTCGTGAAGACGGAACCAAAGACGTCCAAATCCAAATTGTCAAAAAAGCAAGAGGCGAACAGCCGTGGCAGACCGAACGACTTCACTTCTGAGACGAAGAACCCGACCATTTGCAGTGACGCATATCGCACCCCCGCGATCGTCTCCTCCGAGACAGGATTTTATATACTCGCGCGATTCGAAGATAGATGTCTTGAACGTGACTACTAGTATTCAGCAAAATAAAATGTCTGCAATCAGAATTTGCCCGTTCTTGCTTATGCTTTCCAGGCGCGGGAAGCAGAAACAAGAATCGAGCCGATGCCGAAACTTGTATTTCGTATGAGTGTTGTTTTCTTGCGCTTGCGATTGCTGTGTCTGAACAAGGGGCTCTTTTTACGTCGGTCCGAAAAGTCGCTCGGCCTTTTGCCCTTCCAATATTTGCTTCGGGCGAGCAGTAAGTAGAAGAGTGAGCTGCACTGCAGCACACGACGGTGGAGGAATAAGAATGAATTATTTCATGGGGGCGGGTACCTGAAGAACTGACCATCTTCTGGGTAGAAGAAGCAGCAAAAAAGGGGGCTCTTATTCTATTTCTAATTTCAAAGATTACTTTTACTCTTTCGGAGGAGAGCAAAAAGACCATTAAAAGAAATAAAACTCCTCGACAACCTACGCTGCTATCCTATTTGTAATTTTGCAGAAAATTTCCGAAGTTTCCCTCGCTGCGCATCTTGCGCGCCAGGCGGGAAGAGAAACCCTGGCGCTCTTTCGGCAGGGGGGGCGACGCGGAAGAAGAGTCGGAAATAAATTGCTGTTCTGGGAGGTTTTGTTGATGAAAGACCGTCGCGGCACCAGTAGTTCCGCTAGTTGCAGCTGCCCCCGCGGCCAACATTGTTCCGGTACTGCTGTAGTAAACACCACCACTACCGCCCGCGGCCGCCACGGGCGAGGTGGAAGACATGGAGTTGTGCTGTTGTTGCGCTATCGTGCCACAACTCTGCTCCTGCATATTCCCTCTCTCGTTCAGCGCATTCAATGCGGCCGCCGGGCCCGCCGGTGGACTTGTTCCTGTTAGTATGGAGGTGGTTGTATTACTTGTGTTAAACACTGGTGAAGTAGACGTTGAGTTCTTGTTGTTCTGCTGTATTGCCGCTCCTAACGACGTCGGAGGACTAGTACCGGACATCCCGATCACTTTGTTCTGACTTCTCCTTTTCGGCGACACGGCCGTCGCGGGGATGTCCTTGCCCGGTTGCTCCCGCCAGACCTGTTGCCTGTTCCCAGCAGCGCCTAAGGGTGCGTTCCCGGGGTACGCCAGCAAAGTGGGCGGTGTTTGGCGCTGGCTTGCATTGCGCGGCAGGGTGGGCTGTTGGTCCTCGTCCGGAAACTTCAGCTGGGTCAACTGCACCATGGCATTGCGCTCGGCCTGCTTTAGTTTTATTTGTCATACAAAAGAACAAAACTGCAGTTCTTTTTGTGATGCTTATGCTCGTAGTCCTACACGACAGAAAGGCGACAGTATTGAGAAGCAACTGGAACTGCAACTTCGTGGATGTGAATGACAAATGAATTTTTACCTGTTCCGACCGCACGATAGCCCCATTGGCGTCCACAGAAAGCGTCCCCCAAGAAGGTATACTCATGGTTCGCCTTCCGATAGTAATTACCTTGCAGGAGCTTTACGTTTTTTATGCACGATGCTGTTCTTCGTGTACTGACAATTATTAAGCAGAAATGGCACTGCAATGGGAGTGAATTTCTGTGCTCAAGATGAACATGCTCTAATTCTACTTGAAACGAGTGAAAATTACATGGAGAATCGTCTAACTACTTGCCTACTACCACCCGCAACAAGTTCTGAGAAGGGTCAGAAACACCTTCACACACGACGAAGTCGCTTACTCGCTTGTGCGAAGGTGTTCCAGCTTCTAGGGGGTCTTTTTCTTACTAGCAGATTCTTGCACTACTTGGCCGTGGTACTCACAATAGGACGGGTTCCGGGTTGTATATCAAGCTCTTCTATATTAGCTCTGTTTCAATGTTTTTCGTTTGCGCAATAGAGTGAAATTCACCTTGCCTCTCTCGTGACAACAACTGGTGACACTAGCGTGCTCTGTTGGCCCGCTTTGTTCCGTATCTCACCGCTCTTTCTTGAGGTTGCACGAATGATCACGTAGCTTTGAACAATTTGTGCACGAGAGATACGACTCTGTGTACGTTCTGCTGTACGGTGAGTAGTGCTTACAAGTACCTCTGCAGCACGTCTCTCGTCCTCCACACGGGGCAGAGTAAGCTGAAATTACGGACCGAATAACTAGAGACACTCTCATCACCTTCACGGAAATAGAAAAACGAGGCATTGTTCTTATCTCGTACGTCGTGTCGCACCACTTAACTCGAGTACGAACAGCCATGAATACGTATAGGACGAGGAGTTTGCGAGTACGGCAACGGCTACGGCTTTCAATAAAAGTTGCATTTCATGATGCGATCCTGCATGGAAAGTCAAGCAATTCTGCATCTTCCTCATTCCAAACCGTAGAAGAAGCTCCTGTGGGAAATAAAATTTTGCCAACAATAGAGGACAAAGCTTTGTCGAGCTTTTTTCAAGCTCAGCAAAACACCCTGGCACACTTGTGCTTCTCCGCGATCACAGGGTTTTTGATTGAATTTCAAGTAGTATCCGTCCTCAACGACGAAATAAACAACGACGAAATGAACAAACCGCGGACTTTTTTGCGTTTCACAATACCGTGGATTTTTTTTTGTGTTTTTACACATGCAGTTTTTTTGTGTTTTTCCATATGTAATTTTTTTTGTTTTTTTCTATATGTAATTTTTTTTGTTTTTTTCTATATGTAATTTTTTTTGTTTTTTTCTATGTGTAATTTTATGACTATGCGTTTGGGTTTGCATGGAGGACTTGGAGCAACTTGGGGCTGGGGTATCGAGGCGACTTGGGGTCTTTTCGATTGTTCATACGTCTCCTCGTCCAGCTGGTGGCCCAACGACCGAGGTTCCGTGGTTTTTGCTTTTATTCCCATGAAAAGACGTTGTGAAAAAGCACAAATCGGTCGGGATGCGACAAATTCGACGGGATACATGAATCTATATGCAGGTCTGGTTTTGGTAGTTGTCACATGATTCTTGCAATTAACTTTATTTGTTCTAATGAGCTTTTATTTTTCCCAATGACGTGTGAGTCCAAACTGACAGCGGGTCGAGCAAGTTCTACAGATATCTTCGGGCAGGTGGGTAGCTGCAAAAATAGTTGTTCAGAGCGGGCAATACATTGTGTGGAGCCGTTGTGAGATGAAAAGAACATGTGAAAGTATGTAACTAGTTGAAATTGATATTGAATGTGGAAAGTCAAAAAAAGGTTGTCTTGCAAAATCCCGGAGGGAAGTGAGTGGAACTTGATTAACGTGAGCGGAAGTAAAACATGCGGAAGTAAAACGATTAAAATATGCGTAGCTGTTAAAAAGATGAAAAGTGTACTGAAATAAAAACGATCGAAGAGAAAGAAGAAAATCAAATGTTTTAACGTGTTTTCCTCGTCATGAAGGAGGTCCAGCAACATGTATTGCAAACTTTGCACTACGACTTGCTTCCTGTCGCTGTGCTTGAAATTTTGTATTTGTATCATGACCACCCCATCGCTGAGGCCCCACCTTGCGGCCCTCCTGCGGATAATATTCAAACATGTGTAATATCCTCCGACTCAGAAAGAGTTTGTGTCTAGAGGGTACGCGGAAAACAAAAACTGCACTTCCTGATTACACCGGGAAAAGAACAGGAAGCTATCTCGTATAGAGGTCGCTCTCAGTACAGCATGTTTGAACTCTTCTCGGTCCTGTTATCTACAGTTCCGATTCACAGTTTAAAGAATATTGAAAGGGAAACATTAACGTTGAAATTCAAAAAAAGACTTGCACGGATTTGAAGTACCTTCTTGATGTTTCTGCAGAAAGAAAGCGGAACCACATGATGCACGTGATTGAGAGAAATCAGGAAAAAAAAACACTCAGATTGATCGGGTCTTCTAGCTTCGACTTCTTTCTCTGTGATCGCGAAACAGGACCCCTTCCCCGATCAATTCTGAAGAATGCACCCTCGCCGGTTCAGTCACTTCTGGTGACTGCGTCTGATGGAAGCACGGGATCGTGCCACTTACATATCCAATGAAAAACATCACCACCAGACCATATGCAGCTGAACCGTTTCGCTGAGCTGAGGGCCGGCCGACATTAAAGTGAAAAGTTAAGATTTGCAATTGCAGAATGATTTTCATTCGTGGAATAGAGTTACATAAAAAGCTACCATACTTTTTTTACGAATTCAAGTATCGGATCTCTAGGATCTTTTGTGTCGCGGCGTTGCTGAGCAAAACAGATCTTGGAATTGGAAATGGACATAAGCAGCCGCGGGCATAAGCAGGCTCACCACCGCATCCCGGTGAAGGCCCTTTAACATTGGTGAAAGTACTTTCGAAATAAAGTGCCTGGAAATTGAATCTAGCACTTTTGTTTTGCTTTTGTCCGCAACATCAAGTCGGCACATGCTGCAAATGCTTTTTGAATACGAATTCTCTTGCGTGATGGTGATGTTGTTTTTTGTGATAGGACAGCACCGAATGCTCCATTCTGTTGTCGGTGTGTTTGCAGAAGTAGTCCGGATTTTGTCACATTGCCCGGGACTGGCCACTTTCTTGCTGCACCGCAGTGCCGACCCATCATCGAGCAAGCAGCGATCACACATGGGGTTCCAGGCAGGAGAATTGGACAACACAGCAAACTCCTGGTGGCGACCCGGTAGCGGCCACGGATGATCGTCCACCCACACAGTCGTGAAGCAGTGCTTTCTCATCCAGTCGCTCGCCACACACCCAACGTTGTTTATACCGTTTGCAATCAACCTCCTCACCGCAAAATCAAAGGAAGTTTGTCACGCAGATCTGGTCATGTCAGAGCGTGTGTGCTGTGCGTCTCCGGCGATATCGACAAAGAGTGTAGTTTTGTAGATACATTGGGTTTGCATTTGCAAGTTTGTCATGCTGTATTCACATCGACCGAGTTGCTTTATGATGCGATCGTGCTTGCCAATCAGGGCTGGCTGTTCACTTCGGGTTCGGGTTCGGTGCTAAAAGTAAAAGTTGTGGCATCTGCATAAAGCTTGAACTTCTACACCTAATCGAACACATCTCTTCGTCTTGACTTTGTGGTGGGCCAGTGTTACGTTTGAAGGATATTTCTCTCATCTTCGGGTATGTAGGCCTTCCGAGACGAAAGCGAGAGCCTGCCGCGCTGAACACGAGTCGCAGCTTCCTGCTTCTTCTTTTTCCGCTGCACCTCGGAGGCACCCCCCCCCCGACATATCAACTGCAAACGCATCAGCATCAGTAACAGTATCGATCCTGAATAAATGGCCGAGAGTTTCTCCTTTTGTTGGTTGTGCGTTGTTACCAAAAATTTCATGCCATGTTTCCAGTATTGTAGAGACTGCTTGTGCATAGTGACGATGCGTGCTACTCAACTGAACCTGACATGTTTGCAGTGGATAAGTTGACGACGGCGACAATGGCGACTTTTTTCCACATCTTGGTCCTTTTGTTTTCGAACCCTTGATGATTAGGTGGTGTTGCTAACTGATTCCCTACTAAATCATATCCTGAGTAAAAACGTACCCACACCATAGCCAGCATGGGGATTTTGCAACACAAACCTAGGAGTCTTGTGAGTCACGCATGACAAGTTGCACTATGCAGCGTAGTGCAGGTTAGCAAGTGCAGCCGCGTCACAGATTCATCTGCTCTTCCTGTTCACAGCATCACAAATTCCAAAACACGACTGGAAATGGCTCTCATGCGGATGCGCATTACGAGTCTTCCTGTCTTTGCAGATCTGCATTACAACTCTGGCGTGGGTACGTTTTTACTCAGGATAAATCAACCTGACTAGTTGTATGTTGTGTCGTGCCCTTCGCAGAACAGACCGAGGAAAAAAAACAACAAAAATTTGGGAACTGTTATTATTCAGTAAATTCGTAGAGTAAAACTAAAATCCGCAAGACGCACGTTTTTCCCTACTTTTGAGCTGAAATCCTGCACGGCCAATCCGAGAGAAGAGACGATGGAGCAAAAAGTTTTCTTTCTACGAAGGCAGTGAGTAAACACTTGCATTTGTTCATCTTGCACCATCAGCGAATCTACTTCTTATTCCGACAAAGGAGTTCTTGGGGGGACACCTTTACAATGTCCCGCATATCTCTTTTAGCTACTTTTTCTTGATGTACTACGAGCATCATCACGACGTCAAGTACGTAATTCAACAGGAGCACGACCTGTTTCATTCATCCACTAGTATTCGCACGACGCCCAATATCTTCTCCAGCAGACGATGAAAAATACGCAAGAATACGCTGAACGTGTCACTACACTATCCTTTTGTTTTTTCACGATCCTTTCACTGTACGAACAACCATAAAGTCTTCCTGTTTTGTTCATGCCACGAAAGAACGACACGAGTCTAGCTTCGTAAGGATTTGACTTTCCTGATGCGATCCTGCAGTGAACGTAAGCACTTCCTCATTCCGAGCCGCAGCAGAAGGCGCTCCTGTAAGATTTTGCCTACAGTTGAGGAGAAAGCTTTGTCTTTGTCGAGCTTTTTTCAAGCCCAGCAAAACAACCTACACCTGTGCATTTTACATCCTTATCCACTACGAATCTATCCGCAGGTCTTCGTACTATCTGTGGTTACTCTACTTCAAAATTTCATTTCACTGCTTCTATGTACTTCTTAGCGTGCGTAGGCGAGGATCATGCGCAAACGAAACAGAGTTCGGGAAGGAAAATGGGGTAGATGATTGCCTTCTCTGAGAGGACGTTTCGAGTTTCACCGCTAGTGCCCTCTTCGTCGTCAGTACCTGCATCTAGCTTTACACTTGTATACGTAGATACGTACTTGTACTTGCAGCTTGTGCGTGTAAATTCGTTCAATGACTATTGTCGAATTTTTGCGCGTCCATTTCAAACAAAATTAGGACCTGGGCGGTTGCCTCCATTTGGCGTGGGGGAGTCAGGGGGAGTCATCGGGTCGTGGGTACTACTATTAGTTGCTGCTCTAGTACTTCTACTGCCGGGCGTAGTACGTCGCGCGGGATCTCTTCTGCTGTGCGGGTTAGAATTCATCCCCGTACTAGAGGAAGGAGGCGAAGGACCACCAACGCCAGACGAAGAAGTTCCTGTTGCACCACTGGTAGCAGTCCCTCCTCCTCCCCTCCCGGGGTTGGACGATTGCTGCGCAAAATGCAACATCTCTGTCGTGTCTTCGCTCCACTGCGATTCCGGAGTACCATTCACGCTGTTCAAATCTTCGTCGTTTAAGTTTTCTATGTCGTCGTTCATAGAAGTGTTGTTCTGCTGCCGCTGCTGCTGTTCTTGCTGCTGCTGTTGATCCACTGCCGCAGCAGAAGTTCTCGTTTTTTCGTTCTGCAAATCCCGCCACCGCCCCTCCACCCGCACGGACTCAAACGGGTCAAATTCGTCCCCCGGCTCCAGAAACGTGGCGTGGTAGTAGCGACGCGAGCTCGTGTTGGGCCGGTTGTTCATCCGATCATTGGCGGCCTCCGTGGTGGCGGCCTGCCGCAGCCGCCGGCCCGCGAAGTCGGGTCGCTGACCGTCCCCGGGCGCCGGTCCGGGCTGGGGCGCCACCGGCGGCGGACCCATCCCTGGGTGGTACACGCGGGCCGGGACCCCCTGGGCCGTGAAAATCGGAACGCCATGGGAGGACGTTGTTGTTACTCCTGGTGAAAATTGCCCATTCTGCTCTTTGATGTACCCAGTTGGGATGTAATTCTGGCTGTTCATCTGGCTCACGCTGCCCGGACCGATGACCGGCTGCCCGGTCACGACCAACCGCGGCGGCGGACCACCGCCACTGCCGCTTGCACTTCCGCTTGACAAAGTTGACCGCGGACTCGATAACTGTTCGCTGTCGTTCATCTCGAAGCGGTATCAAATGCAAAAGTGTCTGGGTCTCGAAGGTAGCAAGTTGTCATGCTAGCTCTCCACACCTGGGAATAAATCTGTATTGCATAGCCAACAAAAGTCGCAGCCTCTTTTGTACATGCAAAAACGCAGTTTCTCATGCGGATTTCCTATGAGAAAGTGTTCTGAAAAGTTGTCATGCTGTGTTGCATTCGGAGCTGTTTCCATCATCCACATTTTAGCATCACAAGTTTATTCCAGACCCAGTCATTTTTGCAATGCATAACCGGTCCCTGTCCGCCCGAGCGCGCTCCTCGGCCGCCGCCGCCTCGGCGGCCGCGCGCCGCCGCGCCCGCGTGGTGTTGGCGGTCGGCCGACCGGGAGTTCCGGACGCTGCGCCTGCCGCCGCTCTCCGGCGGTCTTCCGCCGACGAGGAGCCTCCCCGGTCGGACCACGTCGATAGCCAGTAGCTGGGCAGCAACGCTGCTTTTTTCCTTCTTTCCGTACAGTTTTTTCGGTACCAGCTACTATACTTGGACAATGCCGCATCAAACCCGTACAGTGCCAGCAACCCGCCCGGAATGGCGACGATCAGCACCAAAACCCAAAACTCCCCCCCGACGTCGTCCGATGATCCCAGCCCCGCGGCCTGCGTTTCTTGCACTTTCAGATTTGTGTCCGCCGACCCAGAACCGTCTAGATTTTCGTCTGTGCCGTCTTGGCCCGCGTTCTCGCCTAAAGAACTAATCAAGACCGCATCGGGGTCGACGTTGGTGGACTCCTGTATAACCCGCTCAGGTGTTACAATCTCAAACGTTACAATAGAATCTGAGATTTGTCTTGCATGATAAGCATGATCCAGCCAACTGTCATAGGGTTGCGCATGACAAGTTCCGGAGCTCCAAACCCGACTACATTCTGGCGAAATTTGTATTGCAAAAGCTGGAACGCTGTGCGAGTCTGTCGTGCCCATCATGCTAGACAAATTCCAGATTCTAGTGTAACGCTTGAGGTTGTGACGTTTGAGCAAGTCATATCCTGCCCCGCGGGTTCGGCCACCGGAACGAGATTCCCGCCGATCGGCTCCGCGACCGTGACCCCGGACTGCAGGAAGGAGCACTCCTGCGCACACACGTCCTTCAACCCGTCCGGACACCGCTTCTCATCCAACACCGTACTGCAGTCCGCGGACACCATGGCCAGAACGCCGTTCAACGTATCCCGTGCAAAAAAATCGCACTCGTAGTAATCGCAATTACGCATGACAAATCTCCCTCCGAAGCTAAAACAGCATGACAAATTCCGTTTGTCATGCTAAGGATATTTGTCATGCAATTTCTACTAGTACGATAGTTTTGCATTTCATACAACGACAGCCCCGGCAACGACGTCACCGTCTGGAGCGCGGTGGTCATGAACCCCATCATGGACCCGGCCGTCGCGGTCCCCATCTTCGTCGCCATCCCTGCAGGCTTATCCAATGGAAAAGTGTCTGGGTCTGGAAGAATGCAAGTTTGTCATGCAGGTTTTCCATGACCCACGCGGTCTGGCATGCACTGCCTAGCATGACAGGCTCTGAGAGATCTCTACCATGCCTTTCCTGCATGAGAAACTGACTCTAAACTTGTTCAAAAGTGGACCTCTTTTGGTAATCATGCAACACAAATTTTTCCACGATCCAGATGTAGCATGACAAGTTACACTCTTCCAGACCCAGACATATTTGCATTTGATAAGGATCGTTTGTGAAAATCGCGTACGTGCAAATCACCTGCATAATTTGCGAAGACGCCCCTTGCAATGATCTTCGCCTGTCGATCAAATTGTTGATCTTGCGCCCTTCTTGTTGGTCGAGAACTTCTTCTTGTTCCGTTTCGGAAAGTTCAAGAGTTGATGCTGTGAAGATCTTCTTCGTCTGCGGAGAAATTGTACTAGCGGTTGATGTATCAAATGTAAAAGTGTCTGGGTCTGGAAGATTGCGGGATTTGTCATGCATATTTCGGATCACGCAAATGGCGTCTGATGCAGGCAAAAGCATCACAGCTTTTGAGCACGCCTCATGATGCCTCTCCCGCATGAGAAACTTCCTACTTGCGTGCCAAGAAATGGACAGCTTTTGGCGCTCATGCAATACAAGTTTTTGTGTGTTCCAGAGTTTGCATCACAAGCTCCAACCCTTCCAGACCCAGACATTTTTACATTTGATATGATGTGGTCAACATCCTTGTTCGCACACTTCTTCTACGAGTCGTCCCCTGGCCGCCAGAGGCCGGCATCGGCGTGACGTCAAAAGACACAATCTCCACGTCACGGACCGGCACTTCGTACTGCCAACTGAAACCCTGCTTGAAGCTGCCCACGATCTCCGGATTCTGCAGGAGCTCCGCCCCGGTTGTGCCGACCGGGAGGGTCATGGACAAAGTCACCCGTGCCTTCACCTTCTTCGCGGTCAGAGTCTCCGGCACGACCTTTTGGAGAATCGCCGCCACCGTGGACGTCGTGGTAGCGGTTGTGGTAAACGTCGTCGTCGTCGTGGAGGTCGTGACTGTTGTGGTTGTTGTGACTGTTGAGGTCGTTGTCGTTGTCGAGGTTTCTGTCGTCGTGCTAGTTGTACTACTCGTCGTTGTACTACTAGTACTACTCGTAGAAGTAGTTGTACTGGTACTGGTAATTGTCGTGCTGGTGACGGTTGTCGTCGTGGAGGTTACCGTCGTAGTCACAGTGGACGTCGTCGTAGTTGTGCTGCTCGTCGTTACCGTGCTAGTGGTAGTAAAGGTGGTGGTCGTGGAAGTTCCGGTTGTAGTGGTTGTCGTGGCGGTCGTGGTTGTCGAGGTCATTGTCGTGGTCGTGGCTGTAGTCGTTGTAACGGTCGTCGTGCTTGTCGACGTCGAGGTTGTTGTCGTGGTTGTACTGACAGTGGTTGTACTCGTCGTGGTTGTAGTCGTCGTTAGAGTAGAAGTGGTCGTGATCGTGCTGGTTGAGGTTATAGTACTTGTGGTGGTCGTATCAAATGCAAAAGTGTCTGGGTCTGGAAAAGTGTAGGCTTGTCATGCAGATTTTCCATTACCCATGAGGTCTGGAATGCGGGACTTGGCATGACAGACTCTGCGAGGTCTCTGCCATGCCTATCCTGCATGAGAAACTCCCTTTCAACTTGGTCAAAAGTGTACAGCTTTTGGCACTCATGCAACACAGATTTTTGCATGATTCAGATTTACCATGACAAGTTGCAATCTTCCAGACCCAGACATTTTTGCATTTCATAGGTCGTAGTGGTACTGCTGGTCGTCGTATCAAATGTAAAAATGTCTGGGTCTGGAAGAATTCATGTTTGTCATGCTTGTCTGGCATGACTGTTAAATCTGTCATGCACGTTACCCAAGAGCTCCGCTTTTCTGTGATGCAGAAGCGCAGTTTGTCATGCGGAATAGGCAACACCGAGGAGCTCAGAAACTTGTCATGCTGAGCCAGCATTTGGAGCCTCATCATGATGCGCCGCCCAGCATCACAAGTTTCCAGACCCAGACATTTTTACATTTGATA